TTACGAGGAAAAGTACTTTTTCCTCGTAAGCTCCTCCTAAATTTACTAAGGTCTTACGAGGAAATTGTTTCCTCGTAAGTTTTCGAGGAGCTTACGAGGAAATTTGCTTTCCTCGTAAGATCCTAGTAAAGGCTTAGTAAATTTACGAGGAAGAATTTTCCTAGTAAAATTTCCTAGTAAATGCTTTGTTTTCTTGTAGCGGGACTACCATGTGTTGTCTCTCAGGTGAGGGTTGGCCCTCAACGTCACATTATGTGACTAAGTTTCAGTTGTCCGACTATGTCGGGTATGCCTCGACGCATCCAAGCCTTGTCTTGAATTCGCTGTCATCTTCTTTTGAAGATCTATCTTTCTTAATTTGGTTTGTTGTTGTAGCTTATGCTTTTTATCAAAGAGGATGGATAATTCCCTCTTGTATGTGTATTCAAGAAAGTTGATGAATGAAAGTAGTTTGTGTTAAAAAAAAAAAGATGTCAAAACTTGGTAAATTGGTGTGTCATTATCATCATTATTCTGAAAAAAATATGTTTTTCTTGGGAAATGGATTTGGAAATGAGCAAGGTATTTCATTTATCTGTAACATTTTCGTCATTAAAAAATTCATCTTTCATGATATCGATCAACTTTGATAAAGAAGTGGATTAAAGGAGAGAAAGTTGATATGAAATTGACTGCGTACCAAATAGTTCATTAGGTGTAATCATATATAGTTGTTAGTGTTTTAGTCGATAGAATAATAGACTTTTAGCCATGCATTTGTAATCATTTCGGTGATCGGTTGGTCACCGCGATACACGAACGATAATGTGAATAGAATAAATCGTAGGTTTGCCTTTTGTTATCTACGCAATTCTCAAGGTCTGACAGAGATTACCACTTTGAAAACAAACCTTTAAAAATTTAACAGATAAATAGATGAAAATAAATTTATCAAATATTTTCAGTATTGTAAAGAAAACTTGCTTAATATAATGGCCAATCCGCTGCATAGCAATTTTGGGAACTTTCTTAGTATATAATATTATTATTGTGATAAATGATGATGACAAGAAAATTTGCAAAGAAGCTTATAATCTATGAGCATACTAAGCATTAATTACATCATTGCACCTGTAACAAGTAACTTATTTGATTGCTTATGGGACCAAATTGAAAAGCCCAGACTATTGTTTTTTATTGCCTTTGGTAACACATAAAGTCCAAAAGCACACATGTGAAGTGTGTGTGTGTGTGTCTGCCTGAGCATGTACATATATACTATACTCCATACACTTATATGTGCGTACATTAAGTTATCAAGAAGAAAAGGGGATGCGGTCATGAATCAACTACACGAAGATATATCCTTGATATGCAAACTTAAATCCCCAAGGAAATTATATTTATATACTCCCCTTTTGTTATTTCTTTTTGACTTATGTACCTATCATGATTATGTTGGACTTGGTGATTGAATTTATGACAACAAGGAAATTAATACTACAATGATAACTTGAATTTGGTCCATACCTCCATGATCAAATTGAATATCATTTCTTTAGCTAGCTAAGCCCTCAATTATTCCATTAAAAGCCTCTTTTGCACCAGCAATCACATGCATCCTCTCTATTTTCCTCTCTCCGTCTTGCACCTCATTTCCCCTTGCACTGTACACTTATGTTTCATGCATGTGTGTATATATATCGTGTGTCTTCCTCTAAATTCCATAGAAAACTGATTGTGAGAGAGAGAGAGAGAGAGAGAGAGAGAGAAGAGAATGAAAATCTCTAAATATATAGTGAATGTTTTTATCTCTATTTTCTTTTGTATTTCTTCTATTCCATCATTTGTAATCTGTTCATCTCTTGAAGTTACCATCGATAACCATTCCCCAAGCAATCTCAAGAAGAAAGGGTCTCTGGTACGAGACATTAAGGTACGTTTTATTTTATTAACTAGTTCTTGTTTCCTCATTTATGAAATCTTAGAATTAGTGTATTTAACACTAGAACTAATTTAGAAATACTTTTATAAATTTTGATTGGCATGCAGTTAAGTCATCAAATGATAAACAGCATAAAGCTTCATGGCATTCTCTTATGGGTTTCAATGGGACTTCTTATGCCAATGGGAGTTCTCTTCATTAGAATGGGAAATAAAGCTACTGAGAATGGAAGAAAAGTTAAAGTTTTCTTCTACCTTCATGTCATTTTCCAGGTAATTTAGTTATCACTAGTCACCTGATAGATAATTATAATTATGGGAAATGTATAATTGTATACTGTTGATAATTTTGTATCATTCTAGAATTTTGGATATGAAAAAATATTTAAAATCTTAATGCAAATTCATGATGACATCTCGCTTTAATCATTTTCCCTACGAAAAATATAATATAAGATATGCTATTTAAAGGGGGGGGGGGTGCTTTTAGATAAGGGATATAAAAATATAAAATTGAAAACAAGAAGCACTCATAGTAGTCTTAAATTTACTCAGTTTCAACAGCTAGAGATACATGCACTGAAATTACTTTCAAATAGGTAGCTTATGAAGGAATTGTTTCTTGAGTTTTCTATAGCTATGATCATGATTTCTTAAATATTAAGCGAAATAAGCGTATGACACACTATGATTACACCCAATCTCTTAGACATATAATCGATCCGTTAATATACACACAAAATACAAAAGGTTTTATCTTCATTTATTTTTATGAAAGTTCATAAATATTTGATTTTATTAAACAAATATGAGCAGATACTAGCAGTGGTTTTGGCAGCAATAGGAGCTATTATGTCTTTAAGAACATTGGAGAACTCTTTTGACAACAACCATCAAAGACTTGGCTTGGCTCTTTACGCTACCATGTGGCTCCAATTCTTGACCGGCATCTTTAGGCCCTCTAGGTACATATACGTATATCTTCTGTATTTATATATATATATATATATATATATATATATCCATAATCCATACGCAGTCCTCACACTTCCTTCTATTTACTGACTGCATTGTAGAGGGAGCAAAAGGAGGTTGAAATGGTTCTTGCTGCATTGGATTCTTGGAACAATAGTGTCAATAGCTGGCATAATAAACATATACACAGGCATAAGAGCTTACCATAAGAAGACATCATCAAGTAGAGACTCAAGTCTTTGGGAAATCTTGTTCACAGCTCAACTCTCTTGTCTTATCCTCTTCTATCTAGTTCAAGACAAATGGGAACATTTTCAAAAGCAAAGAGTTGTTCTTGATGAACCGGATCATCATCAAAGTAGTAACACAAATGGAAGAAGTAATGACATTCAAGTGGTAACAAGAAACGACGATGAACAAAAGATGGTTCCTCAGCCTTGTCGGAAAAGTAACGCACTTGTGAATCTGTTTAAATCGATTTGATTGGTGTGAAAATCAATTATATTATAAGGGCTTGACTTGATATTTTTGGATGTGGTAGTCAATATCATATATATAGTTTTTTTTCATACACTTTGTAATGATGTATGATGTTGGATTTTCTTTGGTTTGTTATTGTAAATATCTTTTTCTGTATTTTCGTATATTGCATTTGAACAGTTTATTGTTTAACATGATATTTTTTAACATGATTGAAAGAAAGAAATGAGAAATGGTCGTTTAAAATTTAAAATAAAAATGTGGGAGCTATTTTTTTCTAAAAAGGTCAAAATTTGGTGATTTGTTGAAGATTCAGCACTAAGGTACATCAACCTAATAAAATAACAACAAATTTAGTTAATCAACTTAATATTTAAAAAAATATCATTTTACACTAGCTTTTTGTTTTTTGTTTTTTGTTTTATTCAAACAAGCTTATCTTGGGAAAAATCTTGATTATCAGATGTTTTCAATAGATGATAGTGATATACTCTGGGAGAGATCTTTTTAATGACTTAAGATAACTAAACTGTTCAACTGAGATTAAGGAAACAGCTTAGAATTAGATATATAGCTTTTCAGTATAGTCATATTTTATTTTTCTAGTATGTTATTTTGTAAAGAAATAAAAAAAAATTTCTTCCCAATCTGTTATAGAAGATTATGTTTTTAAACATACGATTAAACCATTATCTACAACTGCTTCTTTTTTTTTTTTTGTAACTGAACCTACAACTTCTTTCTAAAAAGAAATGGAACACACTTCTCTGGAGATGAAGTTGCGATTGATGCATTCAAAGCGATATATGTACTGTGGCTTGTTAAATTACGTCAATCAAAGATTCAACACCAAGGTACAACACTTACATACACAAACGTTATAATCTCTTTGTAGCTGTTACGTACAAGACTATTAATTACATAGCTTAACACAAATGACAGTTTGGCCGAGTGGTCTAAGGCGCCAGATTTAGGCTCTGGTCCGAAAGGGCGTGGGTTCAAATCCCGCAGCTGTCATTTTTCATGTTTTTTTTGGTTTTATATAACAGAGTTGAATAATATCTTTAGAAATAGCAACTTTGTTTGGACAAAAAACAAACAAGCCAGAACCATGCTTGCAAACACTCTAATGGCATCAAAATTCTTCTTTCCTTCCTTTTTTATTCGACGCTTCTAATGGGTTGAATAAGTCTTTACACCAATTTGTTACACTGTTGAATAACCAGCTCAACTTCAAATACTTTAACTTAACCAAACCGGAATTGAATATTTAACGTCAACAAGAGCAATTCTAGGAAGAAATACCTGAAATTTTTTGAAAGACTTTGCTCAGGTCAATCTATATTTCTTTAATACTTCTTATTTGATTACAGAAGGCTAATTTGTGTCCCACCTACCTACGTCCTCTTGCATTATAAAAAGACCATGTACAGTATGTCCAGTCACCAGAGGAAGACTTTGATCCAGTGAACACAAAGATTAGACCAAGGGCATATAGGTTGAGATAACATAATTTTTGAACAGGCGTTAGGAATAGTCCGGTGTATATATTTGCCTTCGATCGTTAGCAAAAGTATACATTGTGTGACAAGTCCCCCGAAAATTCTTATCAATTGGAAAAGTGTAGTAGTTAGATTATTCCCTTCCTTCCTAAGTTCCTATATAATTATTATTTATATAATCCCTAGTTGCTGACTAATTTATTGTTTATGTACGATCTTATCGCAAGACACCCATTTCTACTAACCAACGAGGAAGAAGCAAGAGAACATTTTCTTCCTCCCCGTTTATATTATCATCCCTAGTTTGTTACTCATCTATCGCCTTTGAACTTTTAATTATCACCAAGTTCTACTCTAACACAAACTCATAGAGTACTCTTTGTATTCAAAATCTTTGCAATTAGTTTTTCTGTCTCTTTGATCCAATGGCCGAGAGGTTGCAATTGATGTTCCTCCTTGCTTCATATTTGTTCGTCTCAGGTACGTTTTTGCTAATTGCTTTCTGAAACAAAAAAAGAGAATGGACGTATATTATAGAAATTTATATTAGATTCTTATCAATATCAGTTATCTTTTTTCCCTAACCTTAAATTCTTTTAGCAGGAGTGTTGTCAGTTAGTATCCTTACCATAGAGAACAAGTGCAACCAAACAGTTTGGCCAGTTATCTTCTCATGGAAATCACAGCTCGCAACCACAGGCTTCACTCTCCGAAGAGGTGAGGCGCGTGCCTTACAAGCGCCATCTTCATGGTACGGTCTTATATCCGGTAGGACACTTTGCTCAAACGACTCAACAGGAAACTTCACATGCGCCACGGGAGACTGCGGCTCAAACACCATCGAGTGTCCAGGTTCATACGGTTGGTCTGAGGTGACTTATATCTTCTTTAGAATTGACTACGACGGAACCAACAGCCACATCATCAGTTTGGAACACGGTTACAACCTTCCTGTAATGGTGGCCCCGTCACAGAGTAGCCCGACATGTTTTAGCTCGGGTTGTATGGTTGACTTGAACAAGACATGTCCGAATGATCTTAAGGTATTTGAAGGGGCAGAACCAATCACTTGTAGTAGCGCCTGCAAAAAATCTGGGACAACAGAAGATTGTTGCACAAACTACTTCAAGTCGAAGCAAAACTGCAAGCCGACAATATACACGCAGAACTTCGAGCAAGCTTGTCCATACGCATATAGTTATCCTTACAACGATAATAACAACACGTTTACATGCCCCAACTCGACTAACTACGTTATCACGTTTTGCCCATCCTCCATTCCTGACATCCCCAGGTAAATTTTAAAAATAAACCTCGTTAATACATTTTGCACAGTTTTCAAATTTCATTGTTCTTTCCCTATCAATTATGTGACACCAGTTGTGAATTAAATGGATACTCTATGGAAACGCCACCCACGGCCCACACAGTGTGTCAGCTTTTTTTTTTTGTTTAAAAGTCAGACATATGATTTAGGGGATTTGCCAATCAGTCACCTTGTACTAAAATAATTTATATATCCTAGTGACGTTAGTTTAGGGGATTATTATGTTTTATAATCCTTGAAAAGAAAATAAGGAACCTTTTCCAAACCCACCAAGTCACCAACCAATATAATATAGAGGTCAATAAGTTTATGTATTTTATTTGAAATAGGAATCATTTTTCAAACTTCGATTTTAATAGCAAACTAGAGATTTGTACCGTGGTGTGAGGATGTATAAGTAATGTAAAAACTAGGATAAGACCCGCGCCTTGCGCATGGTGAATATACGTAATTAAAACATAAAATTTTAGTATTGATAAATATAAAATTTACATATAATTATTTTTATATGTATTTGAAATTTTAGAATTTCGGAATTTTTAAATAATTATCTATACGTAGGATCAGAAATAATTGTAATTAGAAATGTAGATCAAATCTTAGAATTTAATAGACCCGATTTCATATATATTTTTACTTTTTAGTGTTCGAGTGATGGAAAATAAATAGAGTGTCATTGGGCTTGATTGGTAGAGTATTAGCAAATTTCCTAATGTTTTTTTAAGAAGCAGGTTGGTAAAATAATTACATTTAAAATATATAATGTTTCAAAACTAATTTAATATAATTTATTTATTTGTATAATAATATTAGAAAACTATATTTTTTACAAATTATTATTTTTAAAGAATTTTATAAAAAAATAAGTTAAATTTAAAATTATTTTTAAGTTTGTCAAATACAAATAAAAAATTGAAAATTAATTATGGTCATGATTTAACATAACCATAATGATTTAAAAAATTAAAAATTAACAAATTAAAAATTAACTCAGTTTTATATCATGATTTAACAATTTAAAAATTAATTATGGCTATGAGAAGTTTACGTTCACGTATTAATTCTATTTATCTTCATTTTTTTCTTTTGTTGTGTTTTTTTATATTTTGGTTATTACTCGATATAAATATTGATTTTGAAGTTTATTCTCATTTCGTTTATTTGTTTTGACCTGGGATTTAGAAAATACTTAAGATTTAAAATAATTAAAAAGATACATACTTAGGTTAAGATCTGCACTTTATGCATAATAAATATTTATATTTATAATTTATTTTATAATTTTCTGCATATCGTAAAATAATAAAATAATAAATATATATATTACATAACTAAGAAATCAGTCACTATTATGTAATAAATTGACGTATGCATATAAATTTAAATATCACTCTTGTTTATTCGCAATTAGCGTAAATAAATCAAAATAATCAATCTTATATATTGTATATGATATATAATTAAATTTAAATGATATAAACATAGTAATATGGCACACTTTTAATATTGATATTTATTAAATGAGGTTTCTACTCATATGATTTTTTTTTAATGTGATATGTTTAGTAGTTTCAATAATTTATAATCATTTTTTTTAAAATGACATATTTCAAAATTAAAATATTAACTTTTCAATATATGTTGAAAAAAATCAAAATATAAGTATGTATTTTCATACGATTTATAGTTTAATTAAAACGATATGAAATATATATATAAACTAAAATTATTTCTTCATATGGTCTTATAATCATTATATTTTAATATAGAAAACAAATTAAAACCTTGATCCTAAAAGTTTATGTGAGACTTTTAACAATTTTAGTAATTTATAATCATTTTGAAAAATTCGAAATACAACATACACAAAAAAAAATCTAGACTTTTATTATATGATTAATGTAATTGTGTAATTTATTTTAATAATAAATAAATAAAAAAATGAGAAAAAGTATACAGATTGTTATCAAATCTTTATTGTGTAAAATCATTAATTTTCATATTTATTTTAATCACATTAGGTAATTCCGTATGTTTTATTTAAGGAAAGCATGCGAAACAATAAATATTTGATATATGGGACCAACTATAGTCTATGAAATATTATATTGCTAGAGAATATAATTTTTAGACTATACATTATATCACATGCTCTAGAATTCTTGGGATTTGAAATAGAAGCCAAATAACTATGCCACATAGGATTGGAGTTATTTTTAATTCTTACAAACTTAAGGTTACAACTTTTTAAATGATTCTCAAATAATATATAGGGGATATTATACAAAAGTCTTTTCTCCTTTGATATTTAGTTGTTAACTAGTTAGAAGACTTTCGACTTGGGTTATTTTGTACTAATCGGAATTCACCGGTTTTCGAGTTGCATGTTTAATTAAAAGAAAAAAAACTTAGCATCATGAAAAGTATGGATACATAATATACTACTTTTCTCCCAAAGTTTTGTGAGGATCGTAGTCCTAGCACAAGAATAACAATATAGAATCTTTTTATTTATTAATTTTTTTTTTTTGTCTCCAATGAAAAACTAATCTGAATCCGTGTGATAGAAGCTCAATGGCAGGAGGGAAAGGTAAGCTTAGTTATGTTGTCATCATTCTTGTATATGAATGTTTATTTTGGTTTTACTAATAATTCTTTATATTTGATACGTTTGCAGAAAATTCTCTACAGAAGTTAGGACCCATACTCGGTACCACACTCATTCCAGCCACTTCTCAGTTGCTCATTCATGACGTACAACCTAAGTCTTGCCCTTATTTTCTTGCAGGAGGAATAGCAGCTGCAGCTATGTTAATCATTATTATTGCGATTGTGGTGGGGGTGAGAGTAAAGAATGCGAGAAGAAAGCGTTATTCAACGGATGAGAACATTGAAGCGGCAATAATGTTGAAACGATATAGTTATGAAAACGTCAGGAACATGACAAACTCGTTTGCTCATGTTCTAGGCAAAGGAGGATTTGGAACAGTTTATAAAGGAAAATTACCAGATGCAAGTGGCCGAGATATTGCACTAAAGATCTTGGATGATTCAAAGGGGAATGGAGAAGATTTCATCAACGAATTAGCTAGCATGAGTAGAGCATCTCATGTTAATATTGTTTCTCTGTTTGGATTCTGCTATGAAGGGAGCAAGAGAGCTATCATTTATGAGTTCATGCCCAATGGATCACTTGACAAGTTTATCTCCGAGAATATGTCAACAAAGATGGACTGGAAAATTGTGTACAACATTGCGATAGGCGTAGCTCGTGGGTTAGAGTACTTGCACAACAGTTGTGTATCGAAGATTGTGCATTTCGATATAAAGCCACAAAACATACTCATGGATGGAGATTTGTGCCCGAAGATTTCTGACTTTGGCCTTGCTAAGCTATGCAAAAACAAAGAGAGTGTCGTATCGTTGTTCAATGCAAGAGGGACTATAGGTTATATTGCTCCTGAAGTGTTTTCCAAGGACTATGGTGAAGCTTCCCATAAGTCAGATGTGTATAGTTATGGAATGGTGGTTCTTGAGATGATCGGGGCAAAGAACAAAAGAAGAGCTGGACCTTCTCAAAGTTCAATGAACTTTCCAGAGTGGATCTATGATGATCTCGAGAGAAAGGAAGCAACTAGACTTGTAGGAGATCATATAATGGAAGAAGAAGAAAAGATGATAGTGAAGAAAATGGCAATGGTGGGTTTGTGGTGTATTCAGACCAATCCAACTCAACGTCCACGAATTAGAGAAGTTATAGGAATGTTAGAGGGAAGTGTAGAAGCTCTCCAGGTACCACCTAAGCCTCTGGTTGATTCACATCTGGCAATGGCTTGGGGAACTATTAAAGACAGCCAAGATACTTCTAGTATCTCTACACAAAGCTTGTTAGACAGAAAGACTCTTAGGGCCGGCCAGGATACTTTGATCGTTTCTAGAGAAGAGGTTTAAGATATTGTGGAAGATATTTCATATTCCTCGTAAAACCAAAGCCAACAAGAGAAGAGTTGTAAAAGTCTTGGGGGTTTGCTTGTTGATTTCTTAATTTTGTTGATATTTAGCACTGTATTTTGGTATGAAGTTGTGTTAAATTATATGATCTAAAGTAAATGTTAAGATTAAATTAATATTCGTTCATAATTTTATTTTATTGTGTTTGGTGTAACGATGCATGTTGAATTATAGAGAGAGAGCGGAAAAACAAGTTTATTAAAATATATCTATAGTGCGCAATAGTCCTGTAATGGTGGCCCCGTCACATAGTAGCCCGACATGTTTTAGCTCGGGTTGTATGGTTGACTTGAACAAGAATTTTCCAGAGATAATCTTAAGATATTTGACGGTGCTAAGCCGATAACTTGTAGTAGCGCGTGCAAAGACTCCGGAACACCGGAAGATTGTTGCACAAACTACTTCAAGTCGAAGCAAAACTGCAAGCCGACAATATACACGCAGAACTTCAAGCAGGCTTGTCCTATTTTATTTGAAATATGAATCATTTTTCAAACTTTGATTTTAACTTCAAACTAGAGATTGCACCGTGGTGTGTGCATATGTTATATGTATAACTAATGATAAAAAATAGTATACAAAGTCTATTCTCGTTTGATATTTAGTTGCTAGCAGCAGGGAATCGGTAGATAACAGAGAGTTTCTGTTGAGTTTCAAAACAACCAACCAACCAACCTGGTAAACCTAAGGTGACTGTAAGGATGGATAATGACGTTGTGATGTTTTTCGACGGGGAGAAGTTTCGTTTGCATCGGGCCGTGCGGCATCTCAGGCCTCCTGGTGAATCTTCTGCTGCGGCTTGGCTTCTTCCTCGCAGTTTGCAGTGGCTCCTCTGTTATCTCATCCTTCCGGTTGGTCCTGCTTTTGCTTTCAGATATGCCTATGACTGAGTTTCAAATATTGGTTACTATTTCCCTGGTCAGATTATCGATTTTGGTTTATTGTATAAGGTGTTGTCTTCTACTGGTTTTAATTCTCTCATTTCATGTAATATTTGCAGGTTGAAGTTTAAAGAATCAAGAAATTGGGAAGCAGATTAGCAGTTTGTTATAGCTAAAGAATTGGACTTTGTTTTTTGGGATCATTAGGTTCACTGCATAGGATGTAAAGAAGAGCTTGCCCTTAATTCAAGACGATAAACCTGTCATCACTGCTTAGTCCCTTTCTTTTCATAAACCACGGTTTTGGTGTACACATTGTTGGTTGAGCTTCGTTGCGAGGTCTGATTTGCTAAAGAAACTAAAGCTCTCTTCCTTGTAAAATGATCTTTAATAATGTTGAATTCTTCTGTCAATTTTTGATCATATTGTTAATGACAAACCAAAAAATTGTCAACCATATAAGATTTGTCATTGAACTATATGTGACAACACTATAAATATATCATGAATAATGATAAACCAAAGCCTTGTATGAACAAAAATCGTACATAATGAAATATAAAAAGTTGAAATTAACAACTAACAATTTTTTAAACATAATAAATACTATCTATACTATTAAAAGAGAAGGAGTCTAAATAAATCTACTTAAAAAAGTTGTTTGGACCCTTTCATTATACTAACATTTTTTTTTATCTTTCCTTATATTTCTCTAACAATATTGTACAATAACATTATATCATATAACTTACCTTATATTTCTCTAACAATAAATTAGTCAATATTCTTATTTATTATATATTACTCTTATCGGTCAATATTTTTATTTCTCCACAATACATTATTATAACCTTATACCATATAATTTCATAATACGTGACTGANAAGATTGTAACTTATAATTTCAATATTTTCATGAATAATCTAATTTCTATGTATTTCCAGTGTGGTAATTTCTAATTTCCAGATATGTAGCGGGTAGGCTTGGATAGTTAGGACTCAAAATACCAATAAACCCGAAAAATATTTGAAAAATACTTCAAACCATAAATAAATACTCAAAATATATTCAAATATCTGAAAAACTTGAATTTTACCTAATTTGACTCGAAAAATAAAATATACCCAAAAATTTGATTTGAATATCCAAAACAAAATATATATATATATATATATATATATATATATTAGAACCCGAAACCTAAAACTGTAACTAAAACTTAAAAGAATATACATAATACCAAAAACATATATGAAATATCCAAACATATATAATAAAAAAAAAAATATTGAGTGCTTTTATGTACCCGATCGGGTCTCGGTTATGATCCATACTAGAATCGATTCATGCGGGTCTTTAAAGATAGCCAGTAAGTACTTTATCATGGATCCTAGCCGAACCTATATTTTCGGGTCGGTTTGGTCGTGTTTTTCGATCCGGATAAAATGTCAAGACCTAGAGAGAGTTACATTAAAAACTTACATATAAAATCTCAAATAAACTAATTTATAAATTACATAATTTTTCAAAAAAATGTATTTTATAATTAAGATTTGTAGCCTAATAATGTACATCATTTCTAAAATACTATATCATATCAAAATTTGTTTATAATCTAACAAAAACCCGCGCTTTTGAAGCGCGGGTCAAAATCTAGTTTAAACTTAAAAAACAATATCATTTAACATCTAAACAAATTGATTTGTAACTTAACTTCAAATGTTATGTCAATCATAAACATTAATATCAACCAAATAAAATTATATAGTAGACTAAATATTTGAGTTAAGTATTCATATAATTACTAATTACTATAGGTACTCAATAATATATTAATGTGTTTTGAAAATATATTAGAGCAAGTCCAACGGTAAGTTTTAAGGGGTATTTCATCAAAATTAAAGAAAAAAATAAAAAATGGAAATTGGAAGAAAATGAAGAGAGAAGTACAGAGACTATGCAAGAACTTATTAAAATAAGGTTGAGAGCATGTGTCATTATCCTATTGAATTAAGCATTAGAAAGAACATCAATTTTAATTTAAAACATAAATTACAATATAATATTAATATTTATTTGCTGAGGACTTAATATTAGGAAACTATCCGTATGAGCGCTCTTAGAAATTCAGATTGGGTATGCTACAAATTTTTTGGAATTTTAAAATTTCGGATTCTTTCGGATATCTATTTAAATTCGGATTCGGTTCGGGTAAAACCCATAATCCGAAATATCGTAAAACAAGACCCATTCGGTATTTATGTCGGATTTGAATCGATTAGAATTCTTTATTATCGGATTGAGTTCGGTTCGAATTTTTGGGTTTGTTTTTTTTTGCAATAGATATGGTATAAAACTGAGAGTAGGAAACCGAATCTCTTCTTTGTCCTTCATGCTTTCTTGTGAGTGGGTGATTAAAAATGTTCGCCCCAATGCGCAATTTAAACCCGGTTCTGAACTTTCGTTTTCTTTTCAGCTAAAAACCGAATTAAACCAAGATAAGTCACGTGCTTACGTCACGTGTCTTCTAAGCAACCGTCGCCGGTGAGCTTCTTCTTCTTCGATGCCGAATCTAGCTCAAAGCTCAACCCTTTTTTTTTTCCAAATCGATCAGATTTTAACGATTCGTGTTTTATTCATGTTGGTTTGCGTTTGAATCGAATCTAAGCTCAAAGTTGAATCCTTTTTTCTAATTTCTCTAAGACCAATCTGCTTTTGCTTTTGTGTTGTTTCTAAATGTTTGATTTTGACTCATAAAGCTTTAGACATAGATCTCATTGTCTGAATTTCATATTGTTTCGACTGTTAGGAGAAGAGAGTTATAAACAAGATCATGGACTGCTGCTGCTTTTTTTACTCCAAGAGATTTAGCATCATGCTTAGTTTGGTGATTGTTCTAGTGGTTCGTGTAGTATATGTTGTTATGTATCAGTGTGGCAAACCCTTTCCCAAAGGAGCTTCACGATCGTTTACTACTCTTATTGTTCTTGGTTCTGGTAAGAAAGAAACAGTCATTACTTACTTATTGTCATATTCAGTTGGATGCATGTGAATGTGCGATGAAAATTGTTGTTATGTGTGGTTTATTTATTAGGGGGACACACGGCAGAGATGTTGAGTCTCCTCTCTGTTTTGCGCATGGACAGATTCACCCCCAGGTTTTACATCGCTGCAGCTACTGATAACATGAGTCTCCACAAAGCTCGTTCCTTTGAACACTCTCTAGCTGACGACAAGGTATATTGTTAGAATGCATTTTTCAGCAAAAAAACTGGATGATTCATCAACTGATTTGCTAACTATGTTTGTCATGCTTGATGTGGATGTGATATAGCCTGCTGTTAAGGAAGACTCCTCCTTACAATACACGCAAATTTACCGGAGTCGAGAAGTTGGTCAGTCTTATGTAACTTCTGTTTGGACTACCATTCTTGCCACTCTTCATGCTCTCTGGCTAATGATCCGGATCAGACCCCAAGTGGTATAGCTTTTTTTTTATCTCATTGTTTTCTTATTATCTTTAAGGCTGCTTCATAAAACTAAATGTGGTTCAAAAAAATTTCAGATTCTTTGCAATGGTCCTGGGACATGTATTCCTCTGTGTCTAATCGCTTTCTTGTTCAAGGTATACACACTTGTGAAATCTATCACTCTCTCTTTTTGGATGGATCTGTGTTTTTGATGTGATTCTTCTTAGTCACGGTTTCTCTATTATATGTAGAATTTTCTTCAAGTGATTGTTTCTTTATATGGTTGCAGGTGCTGGGAATCAGGTGGTCATCGATCTTTTATGTTGAGAGTGTAGCAAGAGTTAAGAAGCTCTCGTTAAGTGGATTGCTGCTTTACAAGTTAAGGATCGCTGATCAGTTCTTTGTTCAATGGCCACAACTGCAAAACAAGTATCCTCGGGCTCACTATGTTGGATGCCTGATGTAAGCGCTTTGATTTCGGGAACTATCCTCACATATAGATTTGTATTGCAGTAATTTAGAATAACTACAAAGCTGACTGTCTCTTTTATACAGTATTGAGACAGTTTTTCATAATACAACTCATCTTTGGTTGCTCTGAACACAAGTATTAATCACTGAAGTTTTGTGATCAGCTTGTTCTGAAGCTGTTGTTGCCAGTCCAATGAGCATACAATATGAATTGGGTTGTTTTCTTGAAAACTAAACCACAGTAACTCTTCTTTAAAACCCACTAACTGTTACAATAAGACAAAAAGAAAAGCATCGTGATGAGACTTTACTTGAGTTGAATAACAAATGTAGTATGTTTATTCTTCATTATAGGTACATAATCAGCTCGCTGAAGTCTCTATCTTTTGCCCATTTGGTCCTTCTGCTTCTGTTGTGTCAGAGGATTCTACTCTTTGGATTCCAACACTTCTCTTCAAGTTTTTGTCATCAAGATAGTGTTGGTAGACATAGGACATGAAACCCCAAATAGCCAAGATCATAGAAATCACCTTCAACCCATTCATTTTATCATGAAAAATGATGACAGCCATGATAGGAACCACAGGCAGCCCCAAGACGCTTATCGCATTTGAGAACAGAGAGGAAAGCTCGAAGATCAGCCCCGTGCCGCCGATGTTGAACACCTGCCAGGTAATAGCTGTCCACACTAGGTTCATAACGTAAGAAACCTTCCCAAGCTTATAGTTGTCCATCTCACTGCTCAGAGTTTTCCACTCGCTGCTAGCGAAAAGCCCCACCACGCTAACACAACTTGCCACTAGACTCACGTAGATGATCATATCCATCACTTCTGTGAACGTTTGCCTCTTTAGGACTTTACGGAAGGCTAGCTGTTGTAGGGATAAGACTAGACCAAACCCAGCAGAAGCACCAATAGTGCATAAGAAGCTTGTGACGTACTGTGCTTTTGTAACTTTCTGAGAGTTTGAATCCTCGTTGTTGAAGGCAAGGAGGGTGGAAGATATAGTTAGGAGCAAAAGAGAATTCAGAATGATGGGAGTGAGCTTCTGTGAGTTGAGGAAATAAGAGAAGAAAGCGTTGAAGGCTAATTGAGATGCACAGATCAATGAATAGGTTGAAACAGGTAGGTGAAGCAGTCCAATGGAGTATAGGTAGCAGTCTGCACCTACAAGAACTCCAAGCACTACATAAACCGCTGCACGGTTCATAAGTGAAGCTGCTTGGACATCTCTATGAGTTGTTGTTGTTGTTGTATGTGTTTTGATTGACAAGAGATAATATGGAAGCAGAACAGGAAAGCCTACAAGTTGAACAACCGTTGCTAGCCATTTGCTGTTTCCTCCGTTGTCATAGTATATTCTGCCAAGAATTGTAGCAACTGATTGGCCTGAGATGACAAAGAATGTATAGAACGCAACCCGGAGCCACCGTTTGTATGTGTTTGAGTGAGTTACTCCTGTTTGGTTTCTTTCTTCTTGAACTGTTTGGTTTGGTTCTTTTCCCTGCTGAACTGGTAAGTTAGGGAAAGACAAACACCAAAAATTAGCTTACAGTTTTATGTATATATATATATTGAACAACCAGTTAGATACTCACCGATGACTTGTAGTTCTTGATCACCATTCATGGTGGATGTGGAATAGACCTCCTTGGAGATGGACAAGGAGGACGTTGTGAGCAAACTCTAAGTGTAAGGTATCTTATTATCAAGGTCTCTTGGTTGCTAATATGCTACCAAATGATAGTAGCTATCTATATATATTCAGAGATTAGGAGTCGGTCACCGGTTCAATTGACATTGCAACTTGGCCCCCATATTGAGTAAATTCCGAGATATAAATGTCTCTTATCTTGTCATGAATGTAGTTTTTGAAGATGCCACTATTGTTGACCAAAAGATGAGTTAAAAAGTCAAAGAGGAAATAATGTGTAACCAATATTCGTTGAGAAAATTTTCTTTTGCCGGGTTAGTGGAGAAACATCAACATTACGCAAACACAACATGCAAACTTACACGCATACACACAAGTTGTGTGACCTACCTTTCAGGTTGAATATTTTCAAAACTTCTTTGTCTCTGTGGCTTGTTCCGTGTGACTATCTTTCTCTTATGATAAGACATGTGGATTAGGAACACATACTTTTCACACTCAGGCTTGTGTATCTTCCTAGACATCGTTTGTATGACAAGTCTTCAACTTCTTTTCGTCGAGTTAATGCTGATAGACAAATGAAAGGAAACCCAAATATAGCTAAAAATCAAAGAAGATGACTCAAAGAAGTTATGGTATTGGAGAACACAGAAGATGACTCAAAGATCAATCCAACAGTACCAATAGTGTAGACTTGCGAGGACATAGCAGCCGAGGACACCTTCCCAAGTCTGTAGTTTTGCATCTCGCTTGGCAGAAATTTCCAAACTCCACGCGCGAAAGCACTATCAAAACCACACAAGATGAAAATAGAAACTGATAAAATGACCATGTCCATGACTGTTAGAGAAGGGTTGTTTCTTCAAAAATTTCCTGAGGTTTAGTTGTACCAGAAAGATGCACTGATTTTCTAATCTAGTGACATTTTTTTTTTATGTTTTGCGACTTGTTGTTGAGCAAGGAGTGCAAAGGAGGAAACAGTAAGTAGAAACAGAAAATTAACAAGTACGGAAAAAAAATACTTAAATGGAGATACTGAGCCACTTCTGGATCCCATCTGGATTTATTAGATAGCAATGAGATGATTGATTATAGAAAACAAAACAAGATAAAACCTCGTTTGGTAAATATTGAGCTTCTTAACCTAACTGAAGCCATATATATTTAGGTATCAATTTGTGAAAAAAATATTATGAATGATGGGTTATCAAGATTGCTATATATATGTATCTGACATTTTAAAACAAATCAAAATCTAGCAAGTCTTGTGTCTCTTTCTTTGTATCTCCTAGTACTTTCTTATAGAAGGTGAGTCTCTCTCATGGATATACTTCAACTTCAAGTAATTAGACAAATCTATTAATATTTAGCCAAACAGATATATCTTTTTATTTTGGTCAAATAGAGATATCATTTATTCTAGGTGAGTTGTTACATCCAATAACGGTTTTAGTAATTAAATTTTAAAAAACCTTTTTGTCTTGGATCTTTGTCTAATCCTGAATGTTGTTACTGTTATCTTCTTGTGTTCCTTTTTCTTCCTCTTCCTCTGGTTTTGAATCATCAATATAATGCTGGTAAGCATAAGAAACAAACCCCCATATGGCCAAAAACATTGCAATCAACTTGATTCCACTCATCTCATCTCGGAAGAACACAACAGCAAGAACAGGAACAACAGGTAAACAAAGAGTGCTTATCACGTTTGAGAAAAGCGATGAAACTTCAAGAATCAAACCCACACTACCAATCCAACAAGCTTGCCATGATATCATTGAACCAATATTTATCAAAAGATAAGAGTTTTGCCCTAGTTTAAACTCTTCCATTTCTGTCCTCAGCATTTTCCACCCACCACTTCCAAAGAGTCCAGCCAAAACTGCACAAGTAGCTACCAATGACTGATATGTGACCATGTCCAAAATAGCCTTGAATGTGTACTTCTTTAGAATCTTTTCAAACGCATAATCTGTTAAAGAAAGCACTAAGGAATATCCAGCTGAACCACCAATGGCACAGATGTATCCAATCACATAGTTGTATTTGGATAATGAGTTTGAAGTAGAAGACTCAGGCTCAGGTTGGATGACAAGAAGTGTAGAAGATGTGGTCAAGAGAACAAGTGAGTTAAGTATACAAGGTGTGAACTTCTGTGAGTTAAGGAAGTAAGAGAAGACGGCATTAAAAGCCAACTGAGACGCAGAGATCAAAGAGAAAGTTGAGACAGGAAGGTAGAGTAATCCAAAGGAATAAAGAACACTGTGACCAGCAGCAAGCAAGCCAAGTCCAATGTATACTAAAGAAAGTTTCAAGAAGCTGGAAGAAGTTGTTTTCTTGGTTAAGTTATTACTAGTCTTGGAAGACGGTTCATGCTTTATGTAATAATAGCAAGGAAGGGTTAAAGGAAACCCAACTAGCTGAACTAACGTCTCGAGCCATATACTGTTTCCACCTTTGTCGTAGTAAAGTCTACCTAAGAGAGTGGCTATTGTCTCTCCAGCTAAGACAAGAATAACGTAGAGAGACACTCTTAACCTCCATGAATAGTTGTGACTTCTCTTTTCTGTTGAGAGTTTCCTTTCAGGTTCTGATCAACACATGAAAACAGAACAAGAACATAAGTAAAAAACAAGAACACAAGAAGCTAAGCTTTACTATAGTTTTGGTGATTACATTTGTAGGGGTTAAGCTACATACCGTCATTGACGTGAATATGCAGTTCTTGAGTTTCAGATTCTACTTCCATCATAGCAACCAGGAGAGGGAGCAATATCTCAGGGAACAAACAAAGAGGATGTATCCTTAATTACTTATATATAGGCAAATGCTTATGCATAAATTATATTCATAAAGAATCTTGTTATTACTTATAGTAGTATTAGTTAATAAAGTAATATGTATATAAATGGATATAATCTGTTCAAGCTCTTACCAGAAAAAATTAGATGCACTCTTGACATGAACCATTTTCCCCCAATGATTTCGCATTTCATCTTTAAACTGACCAATTTTGTTTTACCTAACCGATATTTTCTTGTCATTTACCTATTAATTAGCCAAGACTTTAAAAAAAAAAGAAATCATATTATCTAAAAAACGACTCTAGCTTTATATGACCCATATGAAAAAATGTGCCACAAGAAGCCAAAATAAAAGCATAGAAGTTAAGTAACAATAAAATGTTTATGGTGTTGATAAAAAAACTATTGACATGGAGGTGGGCTTTGAGTCCCAGTGTACTTATCCCTAAAGTATCTACAAGAAGAAGAGACAGCTTCACTTCCTCTGTTCCTGGTCTGCTTTTCTCCACAAGTAGAAGTGAGATAAAGATTCAATGCCACTAGAAAATGAATCAGAACCATGCTCTCAGACACATTTCTGTAACTAATCTTCAGTAAACATTCAATGTCACTAGAGAACGTAGCTAGAGACTTGAGTGTTACATAAGACTTTCAACATGGAAAGCAGACCAGGAACAGAGGAAGTGAAGCTGTAAAATCAGTTTTTTTCCATCGAAACCACTAAAATAGCAAAACTGAATTTTTCTTCCAAAACCGTTAATCATATTTTCTCTCAAAAATCATTCAAATAGCAAAATCAAAATTTCTGTGAAACTCGCTAAACCAGATTTTCCTGTTAATACTGTAATTTTTTTTTTTTTATGTTTTCCACTAAAATTGTAAAATTTTATTTCCCCGCTAGAACTACAAAATCATGTTTCTACTCCATAATCATAAAATCATAATTTTTCTTCTAAAATAAAAATATTAAACTTTTTCCATCAAAATCCAAACTCATTTTTTCACCAAAACTGCAAAATCGAGTTTTCTCGCCAAACTGCAAAATTAGATTTTCGTCAAATTCACAAAATAGGATTTTCCCATTAAACACGCAGAATCATGTTTTTCTTTAAAATATAAAAAAAAAAAAAATTTACCTCATAAAACTCACAAAAATCACCCGCCAAAAGTTTAATTTATAAAATAAAAATTTTATTTAATTATTATCTAACATTGATTTAAAATTATGTAAATATTATATTTCTTTTGCGAAAATAGAATTTATAAATATGTATTCAAATAAAAATACTTCTAAACTATTTTTGTTTTTAACTAGTAGCATTCAAATTCTATTATACAATTAAAAAAATAAGTTAGCATAATGATGGTTTATCTAGATACAAATACTAATTAAAAATGACCATGTTTGGATGCAACATCCATATGTTATATTCAAATGCTGCATTTAGATGTTGCATCCAAATACAAAAATGAACATAATTTAAGTATGTAACAAATGTAAAATTAAAAAAAAAAAATCAAATGTAAGACTAAAATTATATTGATCAAATGGTAAAATTCTTTGATGGATGAATATTTGAATTTTTCATAGATAATTAGTAATAATTAATTGATATTAGATGAATTTATCTATATCTTTGAGTTTCTTATATATATGTATATATATGCAGTCATTTGTAAGTCTAAAACGGTTTTGATATCTATATAATAATATTTTTTATACCGTCCATCTAAAAGACATATTTGGAACATGTTGTTCATTGTCGATTAGTTCTATTTAATTCCTTTATACGAATTGGCAGCACAGATGTAACTGTTTATTTAGATCAAAAGCGTGTTCGTAATTTATTTGTTATATTGAAACATCGTTATTGGTTTTAAAGGGAGGGTTCTAGATTTGTATAGTTTTATATACCTCTTCATGTCACCATAATTGTCTAGGCACTAGGGGGTTTGGCAGTTACGTGATTCTCCCGGAGGATACTTTTTTATAAATACAGTATACTATATAGCTTTCTTTGCTTCTCTTTCTAATATTATGGCTTCTTTTCGTTTTTGTTAGGTAAATTTGATGCTGACCCCGAAAAGAATAAACACATCATTATCACGAGATTTGTTTGTATCATCAACTTAATATATAACTAAATTTACTAAATATTGTTTCTGCTAATGTAGATATATGATATGTTAAATGGATTTCCTCATGATTTCAGATATGATTGGACTTGATATCATCTATTTTATTATCTGTGCAGGCCAAATCATTCTCAGTCAAAATATCTACAAGATTGGTCATATGTAGAACATATATAGGATTTCCTTTTATGTTTGTTTGCGGTTATAAAACATTTTAGGAACATATTTGAGCTTTATATGTCAAATGTCACATGGCTCTTTTGATGGAATGTTCAAAACGTTTTAAATTAAAACTCCAATCCAATTTAAAGGTGATTTATCTCAAAACTTTAGTGGTTTATATTACTATAGTAGAAAAGTATTCCACAAAGCTACTGTACTTGAATTGATTAAATACAAAGTGAATAATGGACCATGATGAACATACTAGGGATTGGACATATCAGTTGAATATCAAAATCGACATAAATTTGCAAACAGGGAAATGAAGTTACATCAGGAGCCAAATGATCCTATGATACTCACCATGATCATAGTATAATTGAGATATAAATGTTTTCATGCATTGAGTAACTTTGGTATATGACATAAATGCGCTTCCAAATAATTTGTCCACATACATGTATACGCTGATCCAGTGATCGGCTTAAAAAGTAAAAGTAAATGAAATTTTCAGCATTTTGGTATTGTTGTAGTCAGAAAATACATTTATATGCTGACAAGGATACCAATCCATCTCGAATCTAGAGCAGTATCCAAATAAATGCCACCCTTGAATGCATGCCATGTTCCAAAGTAAGATCTCCGAATGAAAGCTAAGATTATATTGCTAATTCCAGAGTTCCATATGCGCTCTACGTTGGTTTTCTCAAATTCACTCCAGGCTCAACCCAAAGCCTGTCTTACGCCGATAGTGGAAGGAGTGCCGTCGAAGAGACATACATTATCACTGATGTGTGAGTTTCCCCCCTAGCTAATTAACATTTAGTTTGGGCATATGTTATAAAATCAAACCGCTAACTAAAATTATCTTGAAATGACTTCTCATTTCAGGTTTCACAGGAACAATAGAATTCCAAAATAATTAATTTTCTTATTATTTTATAGGATGTTAGAATATATATGTATATATATATTGTTTTCGGTTTTAATGGTAGGGGTAATACTACTGGTCCACAGTCTATGTTTCCATGTGTATGGACAAGATAGAAAGCAGAAGCAGTCAAATCTTTCTTTGGGTCCAATCTCTCTTAGGACACAAGGACGAACTCAACTTGTTTTGCATAATCTTCACTTGTTCACACAATCACACCCATGGATATTCGTCGTCCACAACTTCATTTTTTGTTATATATGGAAAACCCTTATGTCAATTTGTTCGATTATAACTTGTTCTCTCTTGCGAGCTTGCTAATTATAAAAATTAGCTTCCGAGAAAAGCATAAGACTACATATTCTCTATATGGAGATTTATCCAAGCTAGCTAGAACTATGACCTTTTAGCTTCAAAATATGATAGTACACCTTACAGAACCTGAACCCAATAACATCATGTCATAAATTCATCCAAAAACAGAAACTAGAATATTACAGCAAAACAAACAAACAAAGAGAAATATACATATAATGTTAACCCATTAAACATATATCGTTAAATATAATCCAAGCTCAGTTTCTGTCTCATTCTCTCATGAAAATATATGTACATGCAAATAAGAGAGACAAAATAGATATTAAGTTGCATATATATTGGAATTCCTCTCTCTCTCTATTAATATATGTATATACTACTATGTAAGTATATATATATATATATATAGTTTATAACCATGATTAATCAAGGCTCTTGTTTGAAGAAAATGGAAGGGAATATCTCCTTCAAGAGCTCATATTCACCTCCTTGGTGGTACTCTTGATGAGTGTTAGGGTTTGCATTCACACTACCATAACCACTCTGTTCATATCCGTACCCCAAAGCTCCAGCCGCAGAACCACCGCTAGAATAAGCCGACGACCGAAACATATCATGTGTGAAGCTTCTTGGAGTCATGAAGTCAGCGGAGTACATAGCAGCCGTGGCGGAACTTCCCCGGAGATTAGTCGGAAGCGGATGATTGTGTTGGCCCTCGTAAGTTGTAATCACAACCGTTGGATCTTGGAACGATCTCTCCACTCGCTTCTTCACATTGCACTTTTGTGTTGTACATCTATAGTAACTCCTATTTTCATTTGCATTTACAAAATATTAGTTACACAATACACTAATAATTTCTTGTTTAAAACCATAAAATGCATAGATAAAAATACCTTGGATAAATGCTGTTTTTGACGGCCTTTTGGCCGTATTTTCTCCATCGATAACCATCTTCAAGATGATCAACTTCGCTTTTAGTCATAAAAGAGACTCGTGGCTCTCTTTGTTTCTTCTCCTCGTTCTTTTTCGTTTTACCTCTAAAATTACACATCATAAAATTACTACAACATACTAGACTAGATTCCTAAACAAGGTATTCTCATTTAGTATTCCAAATAATTTTATAAGAGAATAATATATAAATGACTTACACTTTTTTGGAGCTTTGATTTGTTTCACCTCCATCTCCAACTAGCTCACGTTTCCTTTGGCTCTTACCGGAATCTTCCCCAAGATGATCAGCCTCGCTAGAGCAAGAAGATGCTGAAACCCTAGTTGGAGTCTCACCGATAACATCATTAGATACTTCACGTTTTGAATCTTGGTCGATGTAAGAGTTGAAAACCTCTGAGGAAGAGGGAGAAATGGCAAAAGTTTTCTGAAGTAGAGAGTCATACGCTCCGGGAGAGCTTTGGAGGCAATCGCCTAAGGAGTAGGAAGGTGGAACGTAACCATTGTTTCCATAAGATGGAGTTGAAGTAGGGAGAGTCATCAGTTCATATAAGGAGAAGGATGGAGGGTATTGGTAGTTGTAGAGATCTTTGGTTTCATTAGACATGGTGAAGAACAAGGGAGAGAAATAAAGGAAGAAAAATGAAAAGTAAAGAAGATAAAAGAGTAAGAGAGGAGAAAAGCTTGGGGATTAGGTTTTTCTCGTATGGGGTCTAGATTTGTGTTTGGACTTTAATTGGGTCTTCCTCTATCTTTCTCGTATTTATGCATTTTGAAACTCAAAAAAGGATGAGAGAGAGAGAGAGAAAGAGACTGATGAATAATAGTATGCTTTTGGCTAATTTGATTTGGAAAGGAGTTAATAATTTACATAAAACTATACGTGTGTGAATCCATAGTAGTGATCATACATTTTAGCGTTCTCTATTAGACTAACAACTTAGTTTTTAACTTTTTTCTTAATTATAGTATTTTTGAACGCGAATTTTTGTTTCTGTAAAAATATTATTTTTGAAAATTTGTCAATACAGTAGTTTTATTAAAAGTTCCTACTATATCGATTTAATTTTGAATTAAATAAATAAGAAATGTTGACAAAATAAAATTAAAACTAATATATATATATATATGTATAAGTTAATCTAGCTCTTCTACATATATATACTCAATAAATAAGATATATATATATATAATGTATATAAATGTGTGTGTGTGATTTGTTTCTAGATTATGATATCATATTATGCCTTTTGAAAGACTTTTTAGTTTTTGGCAATAAGCACTTTATATATAAAAGCTAAGTTGACAAAACAAAAGAGTTGCAAAAGTGACTTCTAGTGAGAAAACATACTTAATGTAGGAAAATTCAAATAATTTAAAGAAAAAAAATTGGATATTTACATGCAAGACTTTGAATTCTTATATTCTTTAAAATTCCCCAAAATCTTTTTTTGCCCACATTTAAACATATAAAACATGTAGAAATTTTGGACTCGTTTGGTGTCCTGCCTTTTTAATGGGTCTAAAAGTAAGGTATGGAAAGTTTACACCTTGGGACGTAACTGAAGTCTAAGTCAGCGAAGACTATGGCTTACCGAGAACCGGAGACAGTCAGTCACCGGTCGCTTGGTGTGAAGAACGAAGGAAGAGGCAGTCAAAGATTCAAACGCAAAAAGGTTAAAATCATTTTTGTAAAAAAGAAAATAACACATTTGGCATTATTAGGCGGCCACGTGTAAATACTGGCACCGGCATTTGACCGTAGCCGACACATGACTGGGGCACGTGCTTGACTGTCCTCTCTTCTTCTTTCTTTAGAGGTCTCCAGTGGAACTGCATAGCTTCAAGTTTGGTGTAAAATGTTCTTCATAGAAATGTTTAATTTACACCAAACTATTTTTGTAGTGTTTTCTTGGTTGAAGTGTTAAACTATTTTTGTAGTGTTTTTGCTATAATATTACACTATGTTTGGTCCAACTCTGCATCTAGCAAATGAAACATAAAATACTGTATTTGTATTTTTCTCTTAAGAATATGATTAAATAAAGGATATTTAATCATGTCCAGTAATATGATTAGATAATTATATTAAATTATTTTAATTAATTTTAATCATTTAGTAAATATTTAATCATATTTTTTTGTTCAAAAATATTATTAAACATTTACTAACTGATTAAAATTAGTTAGAAATAAATATACTACGTTTATTTTTTGTCTTTTCATTTTAATAATATGAAACTTCATTTTAATCAATAAATGTTAAAGTTGATATAAATATTAATTTATAAAATCTAAATATCTAATTAGTATATCAAATGATTATAATAAAAAATACTTAGGAATATCAATTAAAACACTGAAAGTATAAAATGAAAATCAGTTCTATGATTATGTAGTATTGTTAAATTTTTTTTTTTTTTTTAAAAAGAGCACTTTAATCTAATAGTATAATCCATATGTTTTAAATTATAAGTTGGCTTGGTTCAAATTATAGGTATTAAGAAAAACTCTCTTTTATAAAGAGATAATGCTAATAAAGAAGATTTTATGATTCTAAAAAAGAATATTTTAGTGTGTTTGGTGTTGTGGTTGAAAATTTAAAAAAAAAGGTGGAAGACTAATAGCAAATTTAATTTTATGGCTTATTCTTTTAGAACCTTAATAATATTTCATAGATGAATTTAAAAATCGTAGTCAAATAGGCCATAATATACAGAGACCCTGTATATTTTGGGTATAATATTCTTTTGGTGAAATGGTAAAATGTGTTTTGGGGTATAATATGAACATACATATAACTCTTTTGATACCACAAATTTCATAAAGGAAACTTATTATGTAATACTGCAAACTTTGTAACATTTCAAGGAAATTTTGTAATATATGGGACACTTGAGTGGAGTGGATGGTTATGCTGACTGATAAATGAGGTCAACATTACGCAACGCAATTTCTTTTCACATGAGAACTTTCTCCTGTCATATCCATAAAGAAGCGTTTTAAATGTATAAAAAGCATATTGAGGAAAAGATGGTCAAACCAATATTATTTAAATGCTAACATAATGTAAATGATAATGCTTTTTGTACAGTCAGAAATATTCTTTTATAAAGATAATCGTACACTTTTATCTGCGTTAATCGTGGGAGGTTGTTATGAACCTTACGCTATGATTTTTTTATATTTTGATCTAGCTAGAAATTAATCGTTTTCACCAAGGAAAATTATAGAAACGTGATATGGTGAAAAAAGGAGACATATAATGCCCAACCGACATGACAAACGAGAAGGGGACATACATCAACTTTAATGCGGTCAAAGTAAAATATTTACAAAATATGGCACGATAAAAGCAAAATATCTTGAAATATTCCTTTTGAATAATTCGTTTTGATCAAAATAAATTTGATTGATCGTGGTCTAATATGGTTTGTTGCATTTCGCCCACCATCAATTTCTCTGGTAGATGAAGAGTTCTCTTCACGTTCAGTTTTTGGATTATAAACTACAATGGACTACACCTGATCATTTATGTACGTACGTTTGACAATCTCTATATATAATAACTAGAATGTTATACATGGTCCGACATGACATACTCAGTTAGAATCACATGACTATGCTTAGCCATAAGTAGGTGTATAATGGTTTTTTATTAGTGAGAAAAGTTAAAACCATAATTCACATGCCTTTATCCCCCTCTTTGGTCAAAAATGAAGTATGATGAAAAACGTTTTCGATAAAAGCAATGCCAATAGAGTAATCTGTTGACATTAAAAATGAGTGAGTAGTTCTCGATGAACAGAAAGAGATGTTACCTATTCGGCTATTCCTATTTGACCAAAAAAACATCAGATCGAATTAATCTTTAACTAAGAAAATACGATTCAGCTATTATCGGATTACACAAACACGGCTTATATAATGATCTCTAAGAACATAGATAATTTTAATCTTTTATTGCATATAATGGTAGTAGCTAGTGCCGCTTCTCGTACGTACCTATCCACAGTGCATGCTATGTAAATATACACAAACACACATATAGTATATAGTTTAAGTTAGGCACAAACGTCTGAACGCCGTAATTGGTGCCTAATCGTTTGCGCTGCCATATCCATAAACCTTCTTCATTTGAATGTAGCCCCACATTGCATAAAGTTATTTGTTACTTAATTAGTGTTAATCCTTTTTTGTTGTTTTGCTTATTACCCCAAGGTAGACCTCGTGGACCTCTGATTACGTAACTTGTTAGAGCAAAAAAAAAAGCGCTAGCAATATACACATACACTACAAAAAAAAAAAGAGATAGTTTAACTGTATCTGCCTGCAGTTGAAATGTCTGACCTATTTTGGGATACGTGCCTAACTTATAGAGATATTATAGATATACTACAGCAAAAATATATAACTAACTATCTCGAAAACAAAATAAAAATGAAATTTGACCCAAAAAAAAGAATGAAAATGTTGACTTTTGACCTTTAAAGGAATAATTGGGGCAGGTAATTGTTAGGTGTGTGACAATATTATTATTATTATATTCCTAGCATTGCATATGAATAAAAAGGAATCTCTTGTATTTCTGTTCTTTCACACGCATCCTCTCTCATGCAAGTATTTAGTTGTTAGAGCTGATAGATTAAAATTTTCTAATCAGATAATCATATTTGAAATGAAATTATCAAGAACATGAACATAATTTTCATTATTGTATGTTGAGATATTTCCATCTTGAGTCTCTACGGGAGTATTTCCATCTTGAGTCTCTACGGGAGTATAAATAATTTAATCAGCTGATAAATTGACTGTAACACTTTTAAATTTGTTCATTCAAATTTTCAGGAATTTTCTCTTCTGAAGAGAAGTAAGTCTAACTGTTTTTTATTCCTGAGACTCAAAATATATAGTTCGATCAGACATTTTAAGAACCAAATATTATTAAACCATATAACTTATGATCTTAAGTTCCTAACGGGGTCATTGACATCTCTGAATCTCTGATTTAGATGAGAAAAATATTTGACCATTGTACTAAAGTAAACCGTTGACAACCATTTGGCTCCAAGTGAAACCCGTTAAGAAAATCCCAAGAGTTCCGTTTTATCATATTGGCGGGTGAATCATCAGTGAACCCTGCTTAACCAAATTATGCATTACATAACATGTTGATGATATATAAGGCAAAAAAGCCAAGTACAAGTACTTGGAAGAACTGGACTCTGGATTACTATTAATTATTAGCCTAATTAGAATCCACACATCACTCACTTTTTACGTGTACCCATGAAGATATGATAGTGAAAAGTGTTGGCTTCAGCATCCAAAGAAATTTGGAGAAAAAGACTGTAGTTTGATCGCTGGATATATTCCTATCAAACCATGCACTTGCACGAGATCTTAAAGAAGAAACTACCAAATCTGTTGGCATGTCATCATCAGGACATCTCTTAAGTTCTGGATTCTTTCATGTTTTCTCGTCATCATGTTGTAGTTCTTATGAGCTTTATATCATTGTTAATGGCATGCTTCTTGTGTGAATTACTTCATGTTCTGAGCATATTAATGAACAAATAATGGTGAACAAAACACTGTTCGTTTTGCGATTTCTCTGAAGTTGGATGATGGTAGCACATATATGATATGTATACCAGTAACATGTAACACTGAAATCATACGACAATATTGTAGACTCGTGTAATATCAGTCCAATATGTAGAAGAAAAGCAAAAATACCGATATGCTATTCTATAGGTAATTAAAATAAAAATAACGAAATATTGAAGTGGTAACTAGATTTTTTTTTTTAGTTGGATTATAGTTACGCATTAGAAAGGGGGTTCTCGGAATGGGCACAACACTTGAGAACCTGCTAAGTAGGTAAGGGCCATACAAGTACGAACAAAGACCCAAGATGGCGACGCCCAACACCACACCAATGCATGGCTGCCGACAAACTATACGCGTCCAACTTCTTCTTCAACACTCCAATGATTTTTACTCCTTATAAGCTTTTATCTTCTTCTTCTTTTTCTCGTGTACAAATTATACCTATATACATGTGTTATTGACAGTAACTTTACATTACACTTCTATAAACACATCAGCAAAACTTGGTAAATTATAATATAACGTAGAGACTAAAAATGAAGTTGTAAAATCCACCAATTAATACTATTAAAACTCATTAAATGATTCTTATTATGTTTAATACAATGATTCTTACTATGTGTAATACAATAACTCAGTTGGTCGAGCTGTGGTAAACATTGCTTGAACTATTAGCCCTAATCAATGATATTTTTGATGGAGCGTGCATGTAGAATATATTGTTCCAAAATTAGCAGTAGCAGTGACAAAGTTTTTTCTTGCAAAAGCCACCTTTCCCGTTGTCACAGCCTTTAAGACACCAACTGTTGCAACTGCGATCGTTAGTACATACTCCAAATTTTGGGTGATCGCTGCAACACAATGAACCTTCTTTGTTGGAAGACCAAACTGAATCTTCACTCACCATTTTTGTGGATTCAACACCTACAAAACAACAAATATCCAAAATTTTGATTTAGAATAGAAATCCATTTGGAAGGACTTTTGTTTATCACTGTTTTGGTTTCAAGAACTAACCTGCCAGCAAAACAGCAAGAGCAATGAAAGAAAAGAAAAGAAATCTTGAATAAACCATTTCTATCTTTCAACTCTCTAAGGGGTTTAGTATTCTTGTTATGACTTATGAAATGTAGATTGACTATATGTTTGATATATATACATGATTTTCACTTGTTTGCTAACGTTATGCATTTTATTGCACATTAAAGACAGAAATATTTGGTAAAGTATCTACATTTTTGTAACGCACATCAACATTGGTGAATTTTTTCCATTATAAATGTTAACTAGAGCAAATAAAAACGGGAAATAATTACATTTATGATGTATTTATTGAGTGATTGTCAAGCATACAAACTTAAGGTTTTTTCTAAAACATTCCAAATACTGAACTGTGATTGATATATACCTCTAAATAAAAGAAGCTGCATTTCGCATACTACAACCGGACAACATCAAGTGGTGGTCTACCAAATTTCAGGATATTAGGATTCAATGGATAAATAGAAATGCAAACGAGGTTGCTGATCGTAAAGTCTCAATTTCATTATTATGTACTTTTGTATTTAAATGATCTGTTACATACGAATCATATACTCTCCAGTTAAGTAATAAAGTTGATGTTACAAAAACAAAAAAGTATATTATTTTTTATACTAATGTTATGTGACTGAAAGAAAGTTCAATCATACCATTAATCACCCAAATATATACATTTAATGAGTGAATCCTGGCTTTAACCAAGAAAGGCAAGACCAACGAGAAACCATTATTAAGATCGGTCCAAACTTGGTTTAAGCAAACCAGAGACCGGATAACTCATCAATTATCATTACATATTAGCATCACCAACATTGTTGATCACTACTGTAAAGTGTAAACTAAAGTTAAAACAAAAAAGATACAAGAGGATCAATCTCCACTGCTACTATCCAAGAGATCTCCAAGAGTAATCTTCCCATTGCTACACCGGTCCAGCTTGTCAAACTGTTTAGAGATTGGAGTTATATCCTTATCTGTTATTTTCTCCATCTCCTTCAATTTGTAAATCACATACTCTGCTTTACTGCAAACACACACACACACACAAACAATTAGAGCTAGCTTAGCAATCAAGGCATATATAGTAAAATGAGTCAAATACCTCACACATCCATTGTTATCAATATCAGCAGCAAAGAACTGAGAGACAGACATAGTCTCACAAAGCACTCTCTTAGCCCTTTCTCTATTCCTCTTATCAACTCTCGCCTCAGCCAAATACAAAAACGCTCTCGCCACAGCTAACGTAGACACAAGCAGCCAAACCGCAGCGAAAAGCCTACCGGGCAACGTCTTAAACGCCCGGTCACCATAACCAACAGTAGTAACCGACATAACCGATAAATAAAACGAATCCAACCAATCAATATCCTCAATAAAATGCATTATCCCAACACCAAGAGCAATGCATAAAACCACAACACCTAACGCTAATCCCACTTTCAACCTAATCCTCATCCTCCCCTTCTTAACATCGATTATATACGATCTCCTCATAGTCTTATCCGGCTCGTCTCTCCTCTTAGCAGAGTCTAACATATAGCTTTCTTGAAGATCAAGAACGTAAGAGACCATCCCACTAAGTAGAATATCTATAAAACCAAACCCAACGAGCACAAACATGATCGAGAACAGCTTCGTGACGACGCTGTTCGGTGTGATGTCTCCGTAACCGATGGTGCACATTGTGACGATACAAAAGTATAAGCCATCAACAACGGGATGGGTTTGGTTCACTACGTAATGCTCACGGTTCAGCCAGTAGATGAGAACACCTAAGGAGAGGTAAACAACGAGGAGAGCAAAAGCTTGTCTTACGATGGAACGTGATGATGACGTTAGATCTTTGTGTTGATGGATTGGGAGGTGGAGATCGTTGATCGCGGACATCGCTGGTGCGGTTTTTGATCTGTGGAGCGCGTGGCCGTGGAAGGATGAGTCTTGTTGTGGTGGGAGGAGTGGTGTTAGCGTTGAGGTGTCTCCGGCGGCGGAGGAGGAGGATGACGGAGAGTGAAGATCGAAGTAGTGAGAGGAATCTCGAGGAGAGGGTGAGAAAGGTCCGAAGATTAAACGGTCTTTGAACTCAGACGGTGTCATAGGCATCGGGATAGCGACTTCGTTGTCTTCAGGCAAGGGTAAGAGAATCGGAGATGGTTTTTTCAGTCTTGGACTAATCATGTATTGAATTAATGGGTTTTTGTTGTTGTTGTTGTTATTACCGTCACTTGAGTCGTTTTCCATCTGTGTTTTTTTTTTGGCCGGAGAAAGAGTAAAACCGGTGGTGATTTTTTTCCGATTTGAAGGTGACGAATTTATCTGATAATGATTTAAACGAATCTGAGAGAGTTAATTTGATTGAGACGAAAAGGTAGAAAAACTGAGAAGACAGGAAAAAAGAAAAGGTTTTATTACACGAACTGAAGTAGAAGCAGAAATGGCGCTTACTCTGTTTCTTGATTGTAGCTATTAAATTTTTATACACAGACAAATCAAAGGTTTTATAAATATACATATTTGTATGTATATTTATATTAAATCACATTTTATATGATATGAACAAAATAAAAAACATTGATGATATTAAGCCTATTTAATTGCAAAATAATACGGAATCTTTCGTCAGTAATAAATTAAGATGACGAAATATACACATGCTGAATGGTTTTTTTATTGGTAAAATGCCCTTTTGTTAAGTCTAAATTGAGTTTGACACCTTTCTTGTTCTATTGTTGCCGTATTGTGAATTATAATGTCTCTTTTTGTTTGTATTTGTGTATAATAGAATTCTTGAGTTGGGTGAGAAAGTTTAATTTTTTAAATGGAGGGGTCAATTTGTAAAGTTTAATAATACTAATGACGCCAAAAAAAAACTACTATTAATTAAACATCTCCTCGAGCGAATAAAAAGTGTCTGCTCTGTTTGACAAAACGGCACGGCGTCTTTTTCTTATTTAATGGGAAGATGACTTGATCTCGATTCACGGAGGCAGCCATGAAACGATGAAACGGCAAGACGTGTCGCTTTATCAAAATCTCACACATGACGTGGTTTCTTGAGTAGATAAGTACAGCTTTCAGTATTACCAGACATAAACACATGATTAGCTGTCATTATCGCTAACTAAAATTCATATTGTTACATAACTTATCCAATTGCGAACCTAATGCATATATTTAGCCATCCTTTTCACCCATAATTAATTTTAAAAGTGTGAAGTTTTATAAAATAAAAGGATGTCAAGACTGAAAAGTTAAATTGCTAAAAAAAAAACAGAGTTTCTAGTAATACAAGAAGGTTTGGTTAGCATCTAAACAAGCCAGCCATTGGAGGTTTCTCACAAAACCCCTCATAAGACCTTACCACAAACCATAGCAAACCAAAAACACACAAACACACACACACACCGCCATTTTTCACACCTCGGTGGAAAGAGAAAGCAAGGCATGGAGACGGATTTAACTGATTGATTTTTTTGATCAGTAGTTGTTGGGCCATGACTGTTGGTGAGACTGCTTAGAAGCATCTCTAGCGTTTTGCTGTTGTTGGTGTTGGTGATGGAGATGATCTAGTGACATTGGAGCTTGCGAATGGTATGGACTGCCATAGCCATGTCCTCCAAAATGCTGTTGTTGCTGCTGTTGAGATGGCTGCTGTTGGTGCTGCATTAGTTGGGCTTGACGGAAACCAGGAGGCTGCTGATTCTGATGGCCTGGGAGGCTGTAATAACCGCTTCCTGGAACCACGCGTGAGTTGGATTGTTGTCCTTGATGCCATGCTGCCAAGTGTTCGTTCTGTGAAACAAAACATAAGATATGAATATACAGGTTAAGGGTTGCAAAACAGAGATGGCCACAGAAAATTGTCTAAAAATTTTATACAAACATGAATCCGACTTTTTTTTTTCTTTTATCCAAAACCAAACCTAACCAAAAACCGAAATGAACTCATCTTTTTCCACACCAAACTGAGCCAAACAAAAATTCAATTCTAATTCGTAATAAATCATAACCAAGAGAAAGACCGGAATGGTTTTAAAGCCAAAATCCTTAAAACCCTCTAGCCTACTAAATCGAATGGAACAGAGTTTAAAATGCTCACATCAACAGAATCCAAACATGTTCAAACAAGATTAGAACACGAGACGGGTTTCGTGGTTTACCTGCTGTTGAAGAGATGATGCCAAGTGATTGCTGTCCCTAAACTGTGAGCTCAAGACATCTTCGTAGGGATTTGGAGCAGTTGTGGAATTCAAAGGGAAGTTGTTACTCAAGGTGGAGCCACCACCAAACCCATAGGCAGAGGGAGGAGGAACAGGAGGAGCAGTTGCTTGAGTTTTGTATTGCTGTAGCATAGACTGATGGCTACCAGCCGGAAACGCTTGCTGGAAAGCTGAAGGCATGTATGGGTTGTAGCTCTGTGGCATGAAAGGATAGCTTATCAGATTACCATAAGGCCCTAAAGACATCCCAGGCTGATGAGAGTATGGGTTCAAGGCAAGGTGTTGAGCAAGAGCTGCTGCTTGTTCTCCTGCACTAGGCATTGTGTTTTGAGGAGAAATACTCGCAGCTCTTAGTGCCTGCAAGAAAAATCGTGTAAGCAATGGTATTAACAAGAAATATCAGGAGAGGTTTACTACCTCAGCCATGGATATTGCTGGACTACTAAGTGAAGAGGGAGTGGCATTGTTGTATTTAGTTGGGAAAGGTGAGTAGTGAAGATCAGGTTCTCTTGCATCTTGAATGCCTTGCTGCTGAACATTATGCAAAAAAAAAAACATGGTATAAGATCTTCTGAGTGAACTATTCATTGCGTGATGCATTTTCTTAAAGGAGATAGATACTTACCATTACGTTGGGGAAGTTATCAAGACTCTGCATCTGTGGGTTTGTTTCTGATGGGGGATTCATCTGTTGGTTGTTTTCAAATCCATAATCTGCAGGAGATGAGAACTTGTACTGATGATCTTCTTGAGGAGGAGGTTCATGTTGCGCCGCTTCTGTTTCAGAATCCGAGGAAGCATGATAATCCCTGGCGGTTGAATCGATCTGATAAGATGTTTGCTCATCAGTAGCAGCGTTCCTGAGTTGTTCTTGTTCTTCTTCCTCTCCATAGAAGTCAGCCTCAGGGTGTCTGAATGATGAATTATCTTCCGTTTCTTTTGTTTCCTCCAGGTTATCATTCAAGCCACTACTAGCTTGGCCAGATCCTAACCCCAAGCCAAAACTACCAAACATCAAGTGTGAGCATTCTGAGGTATGAACTTGTAGGTGACTGGGGATTATCACTGGAGGTTTGTCTTCTTTCGTTAATGTCTCGCGGTCTTCTTCTTCATTCTCGATGGTTAGTTGCTGAAAATCAGTTGCAACAGATGCAGAAACATCCTCACCTGAAAATAGTAGGAAAATGCAACATAGACATGAAGAACATGGACAAAGAAAAAGGAAGACTTACAACATAAAATTTAAACTCTCACCTCTATTTTCCTCAAAAGCATGTGGCTCCGCTTTGTTGTTTTCGTCTCTAGAATCATCATCATCAACCAAATTTCTGTTGGATATCGAAGCAGGTGGAATCTGGTCTGCATCAGGAGTAGATGCAACTGGCTTTGTTTCCGTTTCAGGGACATTACCATCGAAATGAGTCTCCTCAAAACGTTGAGGCTCGCTAGACTGGTCGGTGGGTACTTTAGATTCAGCAGCTGGTTTCAAGAGAGAAGATGTAGGATAAGAAACGTCTTGCTTCTCAATAGAAGGCCATTCATCCTTCAACGGAGCTTTGCTTCCACTCTCTTGAGTCTCTGTTGAACGAGGCGCAGCAACCTTCTTCTGATGAAGAGGCAAACCCATTTTCACAATATCAGCCATTGTTCTCTGCCCGGGGTTGGCATTGGCCCACGCGGATTGATACGCAGGAGTTGGCACCGAAGAGGAAGTAACTGCATCACTTGAGACCGTTGGTTGTGCTTTCTTAACTTCAGCGTTTGCAGGCTCACTGCTAAGTAAAGGAGATAGACACAGTAAGGTAAAAAACATAAATAATGATATTTAACGATTATGAAAAGAAACACAAATGACAACGTGATTAGAAGAACCTGTTCGGTGGAGGTTGGCGCCCGAGGACACCAGGTGTTGAAGAGCCAGCCCAATTGTTACGTGCTCCGTTCTCTCTTCTGTTTGCAGGTACACTTTGAACACTTCCCGTCTCTGAACCAAAACCCAGCAACAACTTTTAGACATTTGTTCAACACAACCAAAAGAATACGCTATTGCAATTAAATATGGGAACTTGTTATTACCATTGGATTTAAATCTGTTTCCACCACCTCGAGTGTTGTTGTAACCGTCATTACCACGGCTTCTAGCTCCACGATTGGGTGTGATACGTGTCCAGGACTCTGCTGGATCTTTAGTCTATACCGAAGAGAGACAAAACAAAGAATAAAACAAAAAAATTAACTCATCATCTAGAAACTATAAGATATGAGATTAAAGTCTATATCAGCAAATAACTAACCTCTTTCTTCTTGTCTCGTTTGCTCTTCACCTCGTGAAAAGTATCTGAACAAAAAATTTAAACGAAGCAGCACTATAAGAAACTCAAGCCTAGAATATAAAACACACATAAGAGAAGGCCAATAAGCAAGTGAAACAAAAAAAAAAACTGATTTTTAATGTTCTTTCTAGAAACAGGTAACAATGAAAAACTCAACCAAAACATTACTACTTTACTATTTAGAGAAACAAAACATAAAAGTTCTGACATTCTCTTACACAAATCTTAACTTCTTCGGACAAAAAAAAAACCCTTTGAGGTCTTAACCTATTAAGGCAGCTCTATTTTCCACTAAACAAATTCGAAAGCGAAAAGATTTGAAAAAAGAAAAAAAGACAAAACCTTGAGAAAGAAGCCGACTAACGGTCTCGTCAGGATCCATATCGCAATCCACAAGCATCGCGTAGATCTCCAAGTCAGAACAGTTCACGATCTCTTTCAAACTCTCAACCACCTTCCTACTAGCCGCCGGAACACCCCCCTTCGCGTTACTCACGCCGCCGCCGCCTCGACCGCCCATTCTTTTCCTGTCTCTTTCTCTAACGGATTCAGATCTGAAATCAAAACCGTCTTCGAGCTTGAGATTCTACGAAACAGAGAAGTGATTTGATTCTTCTCGATGATGTCTCTCTCTCTCTCTCTCTCTTTTATTCTTTTGCTCTTTGGAGAAATATGGGAAAGATTCAAAATTTTGGGAAACTATGTAATGAGAAAAAAAAATGTTAATTTGGAGATAAGCACTTGTGAATTAACTAATTTATTTCGGGTAGGTTATTTACTTTTTTTTGAAGATATTTTTAACAACTTTACATTATCATTTTTCTCAGATTTTAAATTAATGTTTTGGATAATGATGAAATTAAATTTACATATTTTACAAGTACAGTTGTTGTCTGAGATTCCATTGTAATTAATAATTGAGATTTCAATTTTAGATTCTAGAATGAAAGTCTACGCGCGTAAGCTAACGCGTGGAGAGAGAATCTGAGAGTTTTTAAAAATTTTAGTGATGGAATAATGGGAAGATTGGATAAGGATGTCGTTGCTGGACCTAGTTAGAAGAATCTACTATGAGTCTAAAGCCCAATACACCAAACTAGAAAAAAAAATTATAAAGAAAAAAAAAAGGAAAAAGGCACACCAGCCTAGTTTTTTTAAGTTTTTGTCAATAGCTTCAAAAATTAAAAGGATCAAAATAACATTTTCTTTATTTTAAAATTTGTAATATTTATTTCTTATTTTTAAAAATTTAAAACTCCAAACCCAAAACTCATTAATTAATTCTAAACTCTAAGTTTAAATTAGTTAAATCAAGAGTATAAGTACATTTTTACCTTTTAATAAAAACTGATTTTGGTCATTTTCTTTTTAGGACTATTTTATAAAAATAAACTAAAAATGTTATCTAAACAAATTTCTATAAAATTATTTAACAATTATTTATTCATTTTTTATTTTTTTGTGAAACAATTTTTTTACTTATGAAAAACTCTCGAATGCATAATTAAATTCAAATATTAAATATAAAATGAAAAAAAAAAGAAGATGTTTTTACAATTTTGTGAAGTTGCATATTCTTCGTTTTTTTATCCGACATGTATAAATTGATCCACTGGATTGTAAAATCATAAAGAGATACATATTTTTCATATCTAACAAGTCATTTAACATCTTTGTGCACATACAAGAATATCGATTCATTAGCTAAGATCGCACACAATTTTCATAGAAATTTGTTTTTTTTTGCTGCTTGTTGATATAAATATATCACTTGTAAAATGCTTTGTACATCTTGATTTGTCAGAGCAAATAGGTCTTGATTCATTTGACAAAGTTATGGCAAGAAAGTCATTGTCAATCAATGGGTCATCGCCAATCTCATTTGAAACATCTATTATAAGATATCTTAATAGAAGATTTATTGTCATTTTCTACAAATGTCTCCGGTAACTAAGCTGAATCAATCCCAGATAAAAAAAGCATTACTTGTTAAGCTAATTATGTGTTTGGCACACTTTTAATCATTGTAGAAAATTTCTAGACCAGTAATTCTTTTTCTCTTTTACTTTTCATTTTTCTAAATATCCGAAATTTTATCTGATTATTCAAATTATCTGTTTGGAATCTAAATTTTACTAGAAACTCAAATTTATATTTGAAAACTCAACTCAAGTTTTTTAAAAATATTTGTAATACCAAATATATATTAAAACACTTAAATATACTAAATATATATCAGAAATTTTAGATATTCCAGGTACTTCATCAAATCTAAAACACTCATATATTCTATTATAACAAGATCCAATATAATAAAAATTTATTACCAGTATTCCATCCAACAGACCGATTTTTAGATTAATGGTTCAGAATATTGGATGCAGATAATATATCAGACCTACTTTTAGTTGTTAGAAAACTTTTAAATTATCTTCATTTAGTTCTCATTTCTTGAAAGAGTATATAGATGGTGTAGTTTTGGTTTATTTATTTACATCAAATACTTATTTTATTGTTCGGCTTGAATGCAAGTGAAAAGTCTTTGTGCATTAATGATTGTGATGTTTCTAGAATTTTTGTATTTAGTATTCTTTATTAGTTTATTGTGTATTTGGTTTGTACAAGTGAAAAGAATAATTGATTCAAAGAGTATATTATTTAGTGTCATTTCTGCACTATTTTTGCAGAATAACAATGCAGATTTGCTGTCCGTGATTTTTATTTATAGCTAGAAATTAATGACTCAGTTCCAATGTAGACAAATCCCAATAAACCAAAGACAAAGTATTTAGAATACATCATATTAGAAAAAAAACATATATGACAATTGACTTGTATGGTGGTCTCCATTTAACCAGATAAATCAAAAGCTCTATAAAGATTTTAAACTTTTGATGAATTGTGATTGTAACATGAAACTATCAGATTAACAGATCCGTTCAGCTTCAATTTTGGTAGTCGTATAGTGATGTGTTTTAAATTTGTTTCATTGTTTTCGTTTTTTTCCATTGTTCAATCTATAGAAAAAACAAGGTCATTCAATCCATTTGTTCATTGTGTATTTCTATTTCATTTATTTCTTCATTTTCCCATATTTCTAGCATTAGTCATGATGTTCGTCACTTAGAACCATATCAGCACGTGTAATCGGACAATAATTTCTACGCTCTTATAAACAATGCACATCTTAAAGTAGTATCAAAATAGCATCATCATCTTGTACTGGGGTTTTAGCTATAGATTTTGCAAGTATAATGGGGTTAGTAAAAACAATAGGATACTAGTTTCCCTATTATAAGGAAGACAAATAAAGGATTACACGTGTTTATGTATACTTTAAAGTTGAATATTTTTCTTTAAAAAAAATAGTTGAATAGTTTTTTTGGCCTTTTGGCTTGTTTGGGGAATTTAGAAGAGCTTAGAGAAAACAATAACAAAACCCAGCCTACATCTTGGTTCTTGATATCCATTTGTCCTTTGTTCATCAGTTTTTTGTGTTCTTAATTGACAATTTTACATAAGAGGATGAGGAACAATGATGGAAATTACTGTTGTTCCTACCTATCTATTATGTGTTATTCTTAACAGACTCAACTCCGCTAGTAGAAGAATTAATCATAAGCTTGTGATATAGTTCCAGTAGAGTTACATGGCAGTCCATTCTATTATTTCTATTTGTGATCCCATCATGTCCTGAAATATATGACAGATGTCAATACATGTTTCTTATGACCGGTTTGATTATACGCAAGTCTACTAATAGGATCATAACCATCACTTGATAGAGACTTGTTAACCATGATTTCATTTACAATACCACCCACACGCTCTCCCTTTCTCTCTTATTCATCCACATCATCACCAAGTTTGGTATGTTTCATAAATGCCACAATCCTCATCCATATAATCATCAGGATACGTACCATCCATACCTGTCACTAATACTTTTACCTTATAGTTCGAATGATAAATATTTAAAGTAAACCGAACTTTACTTACAAAAAGAAGAAAAAAAAAAGTAATAAAGAAAGTTTTTATCGGTGGTCACACTGACAATCTCTACGTGTGGAAGAGGATGAAGCAGAGTAGGAAAAAAAAAGCATCTGAGAGTACACACAAAATAAAAAAGAATCTCAAAAAAATCAAAAAAGAAAGAAATCTTTTTTTCTTTCTCTTGCAAATGATAAAAGAATCAGCTTCTGGTCGGAAAAAAAACTCACTCCTCACACTCTGCAACAATGGGATTCGAGAGCTCATCATCAGCTGCAAGCAACATGAAACCTTCAAGACCACAAAACTCCAACACTGCTCAATACTCCGTCGACGCTGGCCTCTTCGCTGACTTTGACCACTCTGTTTACTCAGGCAAGTCTTTCAACTACTCCAAATCCATGGCTTCCCCTCCCAACAACGTCCCTGACGAACACATCACTGCTTACCTCTCCAACATCCAAAGAGGCGGTCTTGTTCAGCCCTTTGGCTGCTTGATCGCTGTTGAAGAGCCTACCTTCAAAATACTCGGCGTCAGCGACAACTGTATTGAGTTTCTTGGTCTTGCTTCCTCCTCTCACTCCATCGAGTTTAAAGCTAAGGGTTTACTTGGAATAGATGCGAGATCATTATTCACTCCTTCTTCAGGAGCTTCTTTAGCTAAAGCTGCTTCATTCACCGAGATTTCTTTGATGAACCCTGTTTTAGTTCACTCCAGGACGACTCATCAGAAGCCCTTTTACGCTATCCTTCACAGGATAGACGCAGGGATTGTGATTGATTTGGAGCCTGCTAAGTCTGGTGACCCGGCTTTGACACTTGCTGGTGCTGTTCAGTCTCAGAAGCTAGCCGTTAGAGCTATCTCTAGGCTCCAGTCTCTCCCCGGAGGAGATATTGGTGCTCTTTGTGATACTGTTGTGGAAGATATTCAGAGACTAACCGGTTACGACCGTGTTATGGTTTATCAGTTTCATGAGGATGATCATGGTGAAGTTGTTTCGGAGATTAGACGGTCTGATTTGGAGCCTTACTTGGGTTTGCATTACCCTGCTACTGATATTCCACAAGCTGCTAGGTTCTTGTTTAAACAGAACCGTGTCCGGATGATTTGTGATTGTAATGCAATGCCGGTTAAGGTTGTTCAGAGTGATGAACTCAAGAGATCTCTTTGTTTGGTTAATTCAACACTAAGAGCTCCTCATAGCTGTCATACTCAGTATATGGCTAATATGGGATCTATTGCCTCTCTTGCACTTGCTATTGTGACTAAAACCAAAAACTCTAGCAAGCTTTGGGGGTTAGTAGTGGGTCATCATTGTTCTCCTAGATATGTGCCGTTTCCACTACGTTACGCTTGTGAGTTTTTGATGCAAGCGTTTGGTCTTCAGCTTCAGATGGAGCTTCAGTTAGCGTCACAGTTAGCTGAGAAGAAGGCTATGAAGACGCAGACATTGTTGTGTGATATGCTTCTCCGTGATACTGTCTCAGCGATTGTGACACAGTCTCCTGGGATCATGGACCTTGTGAAGTGTGATGGAGCTGCTTTGTATTACAAGGGGAGGTGTTGGCTTGTTGGTGTTACTCCGGACGAGTCACAAGTTAAAGAGCTTGTGGATTGGCTGGTGGAGAATCACGGTGATGAGTCAACAGGTTTAACTACTGATAGTTTGGTGGATGCTGGTTACCCTGGTGCTGTCTCACTAGGAGATGCTGTTTGCGGTGTGGCTGCAGCGGGGATTTCATTGAAAGATTACTTGATTTGGTTCAGGTCTAATACTGCTAGTGCGATCAAATGGGGAGGAGCTAAACATCATCCGAAGGATAAAGATGATGCAGGAAGAATGCATCCGAGGTCATCTTTTAAAGCGTTTCTTGAAGTTGCTAAGAGCAGGAGCTTGCCTTGGGAAGCCTCTGAGATAGATGCTATACATTCCCTGAGGGTTATAATGAGAGAGTCGTTTACTACCTCAAGGCCTGTGTTGTCTGGTGGTAATGGTGTGGGGAGAGATGCTAATGAGCTTACTTCTTTTGTTTGTGAAATGGTTAGAGTGATTGAAACCGCAACTGCGCCTATCTTTGGTGTTGATTCTAATGGATGTGTCAATGGTTGGAACAATAAAGCCGCTGAGATGACGGGGTTGCAAGCTAGTGAAGCCATGGGGAAGTCACTTGCTGATGAGATTGTTCAAGAGGAGTCACGTGGAGCTTTTGAGAGTCTCTTGTCCAAGGCCTTACAAGGTGAAGAGAAGAAGAACGTTATGCTTAAACTGAGAAAGTTTGGTGATAACAAGGATTCATCTTCTTCTTCTGATGTGTGTGTTCTTGTTAACTCATGCACTAGTAGGGACTATACAGAGAAAATCATCGGTGTTTGCTTCGTTGGTCAAGACATAACTAGTGAGAAAGCAATAACGGATAGGTTCATTAGACTACAAGGAGATTACAAGACTATTGTCCAAAGCTTAAACCCATTGATTCCACCAATCTTTGCATCTGATGAGAAGGCTTGTTGTTCAGAGTGGAACGCAGCAATGGAGAAGCTTACAGGTTGGTCAAAACATGAGGTGATTGGGAGAATGTTACCTGGTGAAGTCTTTGGAGATTTATGTAAAGTGAAGTGCCAAGATACACTCACAAAGTTCTTGATCTCTTTATACCAAGGAATCTCTGGTGGTAATGTTCCAGAGAGTTCACTGGTTGGGTTCTTTAGTAAAGAAGGGAAGTACATAGAAGCATCGTTAACGGCTAACAAGAGTGTCAACACGGAAGGGAAAGTCATAGGATGCTTCTTCTTCTTGCAGATCATCAATAAAGAGTCGAGTTCAAGCTGTCCTGAGCTGAAAGAGAGCGCTCAGAGCCTCGATGAGTTAGCTTACATAAGGCAAGAGATCAAGAACCCTCTCAACGGTATCAGGTTTGCACATAAGCTTCTTGAGTCCTCGGAGATTTCAGAGAACCAAAGGCAGTTTCTGGAGACTAGTGATGCTTGTGAGAAGCAGATTGCAACTATAATTGAAGAGACAGACTTGAAAAGCATTGAGGAAGGGTAAAAAAACATAACATCTTCATCTACTGTTGTTGTTTTTTACATTTTGTGTCTGAAAAAAATGAAATGTTTTTTGTTAATGATATCAGCAAGTTGCAACTGGAAACAGAGGAGTTTCGGCTTGAGAGTGTCTTGGACACAATCATTAGCCAAGTGATGATTATGTTGAGAGAGAGGAAGTCACAAATTAGAGTTGAAGTAGCTGAGGAGATCAAAACTTTACCTCTCTATGGTGACAGAGTAAAACTTCAGCTCATACTTGCTGATCTTCTGCGCAACATTGTGAACCATGCACCGTTTCCAGATAGTTGGGTAGGAATCAAAATCTCACCACACAACAAGCTAGCACACGACAATGTTCCCTATATCCATCTACAGTTCAGGTATAAACGGCCACTGAAGAAATGCAAGTTTGCAGATATTTGTGTGTTTATAACTTAGCGTATGATGTTGTTTTGATGGTAGGATGATACATCCTGGGAAAGGAATTCCTTCAGAGATGCTAAGTGATATGTTTGAGACTAGAGATGGATGGGTGACGCCTGATGGGTTAGGACTTAAGCTATCACGGAAACTACTGGAGCAGATGAATGGTCGTGTGAGTTATGTCAGGGAAGACGAACGTTGTTTCTTTCAAGTGGATCTTCAAGTCAAGACAAGGTTAGGTGTTGAGACCAGAGGAACAGAGACTGGTGGTTCAAGCGTATAGTAGAGATTTTTTAAGTTGCAAAAGCATATAATAAAAATTGTGATGAATTTTGATCCTTTTATGGTCTGAATGTAAGTGTTATCATTCAAACAAAGCTTCCCATTATTTATTATCAATAAGAGGTACCTTAGTCATTCCTATGTACATGATTAAGCAAACCAATAAAAAACAAACCATATCCATCAATTTACAGTACTTTTGTCTGCTCATTATCATGAACATCATCATCATCATCATCATCTCATCCTAGAAACTGAATATTTACATTTGAAACTAGAGGCAATAAAGGGTTCATTTGAATGTCAGCTTCGATATGGGCTTTGGTCCTGTGAATGCTCCATGTCCGAGATGAACTAGTCAGATATAATTCATCAGTTAAACACAGAACTTCAGAAAAAAAAACTATCTCAGGGTCTTGTCTTTGTTGTAAGAGAATACTTACCGGATAGCTTGACTCTGGTCCATCAAAGACCACAGGGTGACACCTTCTGTCCTCATTCATTAAGCTTGAGTTCTGGAAGTGAGCCATGAGTGCGGTTTTGCCTTGGATCCGAGCATAAGCTAAGGAAGCAACTTTCTCGCTGTTGAACTTATCCCATTTTTTCCCATCAAAGGCCTATGAAACATATCAGAAGCATAAGGTCATCCCAATATTTTCAGTCTCTAGAAAACAATACTCAAAAACTCAAATCAGGTCTTGTCTTGTACCTCGTATAATGCAATTATGAAAGTAGGAGACACCATGTTGATAAATGCATAACCCACATTGCATTTATTCTACAACACAAGAAAATTTAAGAGAGAAGATATTAATCACATGAAGTCAGATTTTCAACATACAAACCATCTTTACCTTGAAATCAATAGGCAAATATAGAAAATCATAAGTTCCTCTGTTTGTCTCGTCAATGGCAGCTAAAAGCATCTTCCGAGTATACCTGACAACAAGCAAAAACATCAGTTCTTTCAGATCCTGATCAGTGCATAGCCACAGTCAGAGAAGAAGTCTTACTTATTAGGAATGTTTTTAATCATCAAGGTTGTCCGTAAATCTTCACCGCTCATAATCTTACTCAAGTCAAGCTGAAACTGTTTCTTGACATCCACTTGGTTAATAATGTTACTACTACCAAACTGTTGACTCCTTCCATCCTCCAATGGACCGTCGTTGGAAGCAGTTGGTGCAACAGACCATGGGTAAGAAGAGCCATTTCCCATAAACAGTTGACTATGTCTTGGAGAAGACACTGTTTTGAAACTTGGGGATCCAGCTTCACGCATGTTTCTTGGAATTACATTACCACTTGCTCCTCGGAAAGCTGCTGAACCTATCGATGAAGTTTCAGAAGACCTCGGTAAGAATCCAGACGGCGCAGATCCAACATGAAGATGCGCATTTGTGTATCCATTTTGAGCCGAGTATGAAAACATGGGAGGTTTTCCGTTTGAAGGGAACTGATTCATAGGCCATACTGAAGAACTAGGACTTCCCCACAAAAACTCTGATCCAGATAATGAGTTCGGAGAACCGTACGAGGAAGCAGTACCATAAGACTGTGTTTGCTGAGAAGCAGAAGCTTTGTAGCTCGTTGGAAACAGATGATCCAAGTGGCTAACTCTTCTTCCTTGTTCATTACTTACCCATGAGTCTTTTGTTTGGTTTGGTTTTTGAGAATGCAAATACGAAGAAAGTGTTGGACTCAATGGAGACCTGCTGAGACTTTGCAGAGGACTATGATCAATGGGGCTGTTACCCCAGTAGTTCCCAGCAGGAGAACTGGCTAAAGGAGAATCAGCAAGATTCACATAGCTACGAGTATCATCTTGCTCACACTCTGGATTCATTTGCAACATCATGCTGAAGAGGAAAAAAAAAACAAAAACATTAGTCCATCCTCCACAGTTTATTCACAGTCAACTTTGTTAGTAAACTAACTTTCGACGAGCACCACCAGGACGGCTATGTTCAAGCTTGATACGCTTTCCAGCAATGTCAGTTCTGTTCAAAGCTCTGAGAGCTGCATCAGCTGATCTAACGTCAAAAAATTCAACAAATTTGTGATGCCTCTTATTTGGTGTTTCCCTTATCTGCTTTTGTCAGAAGTACATGTAACTTACACAAACGTTAACCATTTACTGAAACCTCTAAAGCAAAACCTAAAAAAAAACATCAAGAAAGCAAAAGCTCATCATCACCTCCTTGATCTCGCCATAAGCTCCGAATATGTTTTCAAGGTCCTTGTTTGAAACTGATGGAGCCAAGTTGAAAACCACAAGAGTCCCTTGATTAACATCTTTCTCTGATGGATTCTCCTATATAATGAAAAACATCATATACTAGAAAAGATAATATAAGAATATCAAACCTTAGGGACAGCAGAATATTAAAACCTTAGGGATAGAGAAATGTATATCAAGTTTCCTATGTCTAAGCAGCTTGCTTTGTAACGCTCGCATAGCTGCTCTTGAAGCACGGATATCGTAGTAAGAGACCATTACAAAACCCCTATGCTTGCAAGCTGTATACAGAGTTCGAATATCTCCATATTGCTACCAAGAATGATAAGAAAAACAAACATAAGGATACAAACATTAGATTTATTTGAATGGAGTTACAAAAGAGAAGTTTACCTCAAAGATAGTTCTCAGTTCTGAATCATCAACGGTGCTATTAATATTCCTAACAAACAGAGTCCTTGAAGGGTGTTCACCATAAGGATGTTCACCAGCAACGGATCCCATACCATTTTCAGTTTTGGAGTCAACAAAACTCATTCTTGGGAAGCTCTGGTTTAAACTGTCATGTGGGTCAGACTCCAGCTCAAGACCTCCTCCACTACCAAACAAATCATACTCTTCCAAGTCATCTGGCAATGAAGTTAAGTTTATATCATCCATTAGGCCAGCTAAAAGATGTTCCTCATCATGGGGAAGCATGCTTTCGAGTGGATGTGAGTCATGATCATGGTTTAACCCGGAAGCAATCTCATCAAGAGGATGATGATGGTGGTGGTTCTTGATAGGATTGACTGCAAAAAGAGATAAGGATTAGAACATAATGCTAATGTAATGATTAATATAAATAAGAGGGAGTTCTCATACAGTTTTGGTGTGGGAGAAGAGGCAGAGAGCTGGAGAAGAAGGAAGCATCACTTGAAGCATTGGTGAAAGTTCCATTTGGGATATTCATTGTGAAGATTAACAATTGAAACCTGATTTCAACAACGAAAAAAAAGAGGTATTTTTAATTAAAAAAGAAGATGGATTCAGTTGTCCTTATTGATTAGCTTAAAGATGAGTAGGAAATTCAAATTTTCAATTTTTTAATCAAGAACAGAGATATGACAGCAAGTTTCAACAAGTAGGCAAAGGGCTGAGTCAAACTCTATAAACCCTAAAACTATAATTCGGATGAGGTTAAACCCTAAATCAAAGTCTAATGTTCAGATAACAAATGATCATCAACAGCTACAGCTAATATAGAGTGAGTAAAAGGAATTTGGAAAACAGAATTCAAAATCACTAATTTCAATCACGAAACATTGATCATCAAACCCAAACTATTCTACGACTCAAGAACCAGTTCTTTAAAGCACAATCACGAACAAGCTAATTTCTGTAATGAAAATATCAATTTAAAAAGATTGATTCTTTTTAAAAAAAATCAGAAACTATAAAAATATCGAAACTTTAAACAGAGAGAAACAGTAAGAAGAAGACATTCGAATGAAAAAAAAACTTTTTGTTTTGTTTCACTCACGATCACACGTTACCCAACCGCTTTCTCTCTTTCTCCCTCCCTATGTCCTCTGTATATTTATATGTCCACATTGGTAAAGCAGAATATTATTTTTATTCCTCTATTATTTTAGTTTTAATTTTTAATTTTTTCAAGGCATTTAAAAAGGAATCTTTATTGGATGGATAGAGAGAGTCATGAGCCCAAGAACAATGGCGAATGATTGACTAACAAAGTACCAACTTGGGGGAGGAAACTTATTCCAACTCCATTTTAACTCTTTTTCTAGTGTGTGTACCGTGTACAGTTGTTCTAGTTTTTTGTTAGTTAGATTCTCTCAAAATTTTACCCAACTGAATTTTAAAATCACTCCTATTCAGTTTGCTTTCAGTTAAATTTATCTTAATTTGGTCAAACACTTATTTAAGTAATTTTTATTAGCTTTTAACTTCATTAGGTTAATTACTAAAAGCTAGAACTAAACCGGTAATAATTTAAAAAAACTTGTTGAACTGAATCAAATTCATGATTAAACTTTAACAAACAAACAAAAATTCTGATACGATCCAAGTCAAGATTCCACATAAAAGACAAGTTTTTATTATTGTTATTTTGATTTATGAACTAGTCTTTTTTTTCTGAACAACTATTTACGAACAAGTCAAATAGACAAGTAAACACAATGGAAAGTTTCAGAAACAATAATAATAATGATATTAACTCGTTATTTGTAGACAGCATACAAGAAAAGTTGATACTGATATAACATGTTAGGATTTGTGGCTTATATCACAATTGTTTCATGTTTATGCTTCTCTTATTGTTACACAAGAGGTTTGTGATAAGAACAATGATCTTGTACTTTGTAGCCAAGAAAGAAGGAAGCAAAATCTACACATTGGGCTACGGGTAATGTAGGCCCAAACCGTCTAAGCTATTTCATATTCCCCTAATAGTTCTAAAGAGCCGAATAACAAAGCCCATTATTATCCTATGTCATAAGAAACCCTAGTTATCTCCTTTAAAACGCATTCTAAGTTCTTCAGCTGCTGTTTTACAGAGTCGCTCGCATCGCATTGAGATCAATCAATCTTAGGAAACAGCAAAAATGGCGGTTCCTTTGCTTACGAAGAAGGTCATCAAGAAGAGGTCTGCCAAGTTCATCAGACCCCAGAGCGACCGTAGAATCACCGTCAAGGTTTTAGCCACTTTCTCCATTTCGATCTTACAGAACCTATACTTGTTTGTTCCTTATTAGTGTTTTAGAAGAACATTACGATATTAAAACTTGTCTCTGAGTCCTAAGTGTTTGAACCTGTTAGATGAAACATGTTTTTGTCTTGATCTTTGTTTTGGTTGTTCTTTGTCTGAATGTTCAGGAAAGCTGGAGGAGGCCAAAGGGTATTGACTCAAGGGTCCGAAGAAAGTTCAAGGGAGTAACGTTGATGCCCAATGTGGGTTACGGAACTGACAAGAAGACGCGTCATTACCTACCCAATGGGTTCAAGAAGTTTGTTGTGCACAACACGAGTGACCTTGAGTTGTTGATGATGCACAACAGGACTTACTGCGCTGAGATTGCCCACAACGTTTCCACCAAGAAGAGGAAGGCTATTGTCGAGAGGGCTTCTCAGCTTGATATTGTTGTTACCAACAGGCTTGCTAGGCTCCGTAGCCAAGAGGACGAGTGAAGATTCTGCTTGTTTTTTTTTTTTTGGTTTGTTGCATTTCCTTTTGTAAGACGTTTTTTGTTTACTGTTTTGTGTTTGCAATCAAACAAACATGACTTTTGGTTTTAGGTTTCGTTAAGACCGTTCTTAAAACCTATTTCAGTAGTATTTTTTTGCAAAAGACATAGCCTCTTTGTTATGACAATGGAATGAATTCATGACTGCACAACTCAAAAAACTCCCACCTTTGTGTCAAGAGCCGTAAGCTTCATTCATGTGTAACGTTAACAGTGATTGTGATGTTCTAGGGGGGATGATTGCCTTGTACATTCGTTTCTCAGTGAGATACTAGACGAGGCTGGAAAATGATTTTGGATTAGCATTTTGGTTGAAGCATCCAATTTATTCGAGGAAATGCCTGTGAAGAGTTTTGTTTGTCTCATGAAATATTCAAATCTGTGGCTACTTTATTTTAAAACCGTTTACATATTCTGGAGCGAGAGTGAGTTCTCTCTGAGTTATTTTATCGGATGCAATCATATCCTAGATTATAGGTGGTATTGACACCAGGGAAACTCTCTGGCGTTAGATTTGGGATCCAAGATTGCAAAAACCAGCTCAGGGAGATCGATAGTGCCATCACAGGGGTGAAGCAGCTCCTCTGTTTCAAGACAAGCCTCCTATGAAGACTACTAGAAGCTGAGTGCTATTTCATATGACAATAAGGCCTCTGTGTTTTTCTTAAATGAAAGAGAGACATTCATCGAAATGTGAAAACTGAGATTCCTTGGCTGTGATAACACACTCCTTCAGCTTCTGAGTTTACAGGCGACTCAAGTATCTGCTAAGGAAGAGATTAGAATTTAGAATAAAGTCATCAACAGGCAAATCATTTATTTTGGCTAACTATCTTTCTTTACTCACAGTTCACTTAACAGTGCCATTGATCAAAGCTGTGCTGGTACTTTACTTGTCGCATACATGAGCTAAGAATAATATAGAGACTAAATGAAGCTCATGAGCAAAGAAGTCTGGGGTTACCTGAGTGCGTTTATCTACTGGATCCTGTCATCACATGACATCAAACAAGCCCCAACAACTTAACCATGAAGTTCTTTGCGAAACTCCATGTGCTGGTCGCACGGGAGCCTGAGAGAATATTGAGTTTAGTCATCTTGTAACATAAGCGACACAATCTCAACTAGGTTAAAAATGAAAATCTCATCTCATCCTCATGAGAAATGACAACTTCAGACTCTTTGCTGCCTTGAGGAACAGAGTTGTGCCTGAAGACGCCAGCTTAGTCTCATCAGATGCAAGAGAAACTCGAGAAGGAGTCTCATTCTCGTTTGAGATTATTAGTATCAACATGCGAGATTTCAATAATGTGGTTGAATACATTAAACCAGTATTCTCTACAATCACATTAGCAGTAGAACCCATAAACGGAGCATCTCCAGCAACTGGAACCGGTTGATTAGCCAGAGCCACAGTAACGAAACAGATTCACCATCTTTCCTATTTGCACTAATTAAACCAAACCGGTTCCGTTTTAAACCGGGATTTTATTTTTGGTCTCTTCTTACCTTAAAAGACTTCACCAAATGTGGCTCTACCTTGCTGAAAAACAATAAGGCACCCATTATGAAAACATACCATCTTTGACGCAGTATGAACTCCTCACCGATCTTAGAGCATGTACATTGAGGGTTCATAAGGGGTTTATAGGGGGTTCACACAGTTTTCTAGATGAACAGTGATGAACTTCTCTCTCCAAAAGTTCATCCTGGTGAACTCCAAGAGGGTGGAGTTCACCACATGTCGAAAGGAGATTGGTTCAATTAATTTTTTTTTTATTTTTTTTTCAAAAAATCTGACAAAAAAAAAATAATAATAAAATATTACAAAGATGAACCCCAAGAGGGGTTCATTGATGTACATGCTTAACCTAACCGAACAACTCTTCATATATCACCTTAACCGAAACTAAATCAAACAAACAAACCGACTCAACAGGTGAAGGCCCAATATAAAAAGCCTTTTAAAAGCTTCCTTTATATCTCGTTGGCCCAATATGGAAGAATCGAAACTTAATTATTTAAGAAAAAAAGCTCATCGTTCAGAGAAGACGAAGAGACGATGGCTGTAGAAAACACTCTCAAACCTAATGCTGCTACGGAAGAAGCGAAACCCAATTCCGTAGAGCACCCCATTGATCGATACAATGAGGAAGGAGACGATGGTGAGGAAGGAGAGATCGTAGACGAACCGGGGAGCAAATCCGCGGTTCCTGAATCGCATCCGTTGGAGCATTCATGGACTTTCTGGTTCGATAACCCTTCTGTTAAATCAAAGCAGACGACTTGGGGAAGCTCCTTACGATCCGTCTTCACTTTCTCCAACGTCGAGGAGTTTTGGAGGTCTGCGTGCTTTTAATTCAATCTTTTCCTTTTTTTTTTACAGTAATTTTACAATTCTGGGTTTTAGTTTAGATTCCGAGATATCGAGGAAAGTTGTGTTCTTTGTTTGTGGGTTAGAAGTCGTGAAGATTTGCTTGTTTGGTGTTTGAATTTCTAGCTACGAGCTTATATTATATTTTAAGGTTTGAAAAAAGAAGATAGCTAAGATCTTCTGTTCGGATCTAAATACTCTAAATTAGTATTTAGACCGTTAAACTTAATTGTTTGTTTCACAAGAGCTTAACATTGAACCAATGTTACAATAGTTCCTTACCTTTTTACTTGTTGTTAGAGAGACCTTACAGACTCGTGGTGTAGCAATGCCTGAACCCGGAGTAGTAAAATAAAGTTAGTGTGAGAATAAGACACTCTTAGTTTTTTTTTGCGTGTAACAGAAGATAGTTTTTGATATAAATCAATGTTTTAGACCTTGAGGCTTTCATTATTTTGTTCAGTTGTTTGCTTCACAATAGCTAAAACCAGGGTGACATTAGTGCCTTACCTGTTCACTTGTTCGAGAAGGCCTTAGAGACTTGTGGTGTAATAATGCCGAAAACTTGAGTAGATGAGCAAATTTCGTTTGAGAAATAGAGAGGTTTTGGAAGCCGTCACTCTTAGTATTTTTATTGGTAACAGAAGATGAGCAAATAGTTGCTTGGTACTTGCTGGATGCTATTGTATTGTCGTGTATATATATTACTTTCTTGTGTTCTCTCTGGTTTTGAACCTCTCTCTCAGTGGGATCAATGAACTTGTATTTCGTTCTATTGACTTATTATGTAACAAGACGTTTTAATTTGATTTGCAGTTTGTACAATAACATGAGGCATCCGAGCAAGCTAGCCAACGGAGCTGACTTTTACTGTTTCAAACACAATATTGAACCTAAGTGGGAGGATCCTATTTGTGCAAATGGGGGCAAATGGACTATGAACTTCTCTAGGGAGAAGGCTGATAAGTCCTGGCTTTACACCGTATGCTTCTTCTTCTTCTTCTTTTTTTTTTTTAATTGACACATAAGTCTTGTTTCACACCATCCAGTCGAGGAGTCTAATCGGGTTGTTGTTTTCAATGTAGTTGCTTGCATTGATTGGAGAACAGTTTGACCATGGAGATGAAATCTGTGGAGCTGTTGTCAACGTTAGAGGAAAGCAAGAAAGGATATCCATTTGGACTAGAAACGCTTCCAACGAAGCTGCTCAGGTTTAAAAAAAAAGGAGAGACATCAATCAAATCAAAGCTGGCTCTCTACTAAAAAAAAAAGTCATGAAAACTCCATTTTCTCAAATGTCACAGGTGAGCATTGGGAGACAATGGAAGGAGTTTCTTGATTACAACAGCAGCATTGGTTTCATCATCCATGTAAGAGGGTTACTTATGTTACTAATTTCATTTTCTATTTTTTTGGATCTCTTACTGCTTGTTGTATGTGTATATTGGTTTGGTTTTTCTACAGGAGGATGCTAAGAAGCTGGACAGGAGCGCAAAGAGCGCTTACACTGCCTGAAACCTAACAACCTCTCAAATCTTACATTGTCTCTGTTACAGTTTTGTATGTGAGAGAAGAGAGATCTTTCTTTATATCATTAGAACATGACCAGTGACACAGTCTTTGTTCTCAAGTGGTGATTGTTCACACCTCTCCACACTATTTCGTTTACTATTAGTATATTAATTATTTACTCTGTTACCGTGACAAAAATAAAAATAAAATATTATTTACTCTCTTCTTCCTAATTTGATGGTGGTGCCTTGTGTCTTCTCTAGACAAATCAAGACTTTCTGACAAACACACATGAAGCCTTGTTATAAACCCACTGGTTCAAACACAAGCTCAATTGTCAAAAACTGATAAATATTTCAAGAAAAATTGGGCCTTAAAAACCTGTAATCTTTTCTCACGTTAATTGTATAATTGTCAAGTGTCCATGTACATTGGTCTTCTCGGCGATTCATGACTAACAGTGACGTTGTCCCAGTTTCTTTAAGATTTCTTAGAGAACATTATTACAGAATTAATCAAATAGACTTTTTATGGATTATTAGTCTATCGACCTTTTTAATGATTTATAAAAATTTTGACCTCCCTATAAATATTGTTTAGCATTAAACCGATTTAACTCGGTTTTTGACGGTGGCCGGTTAAGTAAGATGTGAGTGTCGGTAGTAGATCGAAGATTAAGGAGAATCGTCAACTGTCTTAAAAAGGACCACTTGGGACGACAAGATCTTGACTCTTAAGCCTTTTTTTATTCCAGAATATTAAGTTTACGCGGTTCACAACACATGGTCTTTATGATTATGCAAAAGTTTAACACTATCGTTTTGATCTTTTTAATGTTTAAAGAAAATGTTTTTTTTTTCCTTTTGTAACTGTAAAGAAAAGGGGTTTGCTATGTACAATCTTCAACTTTTTTTCTTTCTAATAATCGTGAAACCAATTAAAATATTTTAAAAGTATAAAGAAAAACATATGGATGCATGTGCGAGACTAGATCTAAATCTATATGACTATTGTAATAATATTGTTGAGATCTTACACGCATTTAATTCAATCATTTTCCTAAACCTATATTTTTTTCAAATTGATTTAATCCAACGCGCCTTCATCAAGTTGAATCAAATCTTAATTAGTATCTCTCCATATATGAAAGAGGAAGACATTATTAGTTTAGTGACTTCCTCTCTGTCACACTCAAAAAGCTTTATACTTTCTCCAAGCTCATCACTGAAACAGAGCTAAACCCATAGATCTGAACAAAGGGTACAAAGAAGATTCAGAGTCACAAGATCTACTTCAACCAGGTTTGGGTTTTTGATTTCAGTTGCTAAAGTTAGAGTCTTTAAATCTCTTTCATTATTTAAACTGATAAAGTCTAGGTTTTTCGATTTGGCGTGACTTTAGTTTGAACTTAGCATCAGATCTTGATCATTGTGAACTCAAAGTAGTTTTTGTGTGTGTTTTGTATGGTTTAGGAGAGAGTTCAATGGGTTCTAAGCATAATCCACCGAGATCAAGAAGTTCACTATCTCTAATCCTTGTGGTTGGTCTATGCTGTTTCTTCTACCTTCTCGGAGCATGGCAAAAGAGTGGGTTTGGTAAAGGAGACAGCATAGCGATGGAGATCACAAAGCAAGCTCAATGCACTGACGTTGTCACTGACCTTGACTTCAAACCTCATCACAACACAGTCAAGATCCCTGAGAGATTAGCTGATTCCAAAACGGTTTCTTTCAAGCCCTGTGATGTGAAGCTCAAGGACTACACGCCTTGTCAAGAGCAAGACAGGGCCATGAAGTTTCCTAGAGAGAACATGATCTACAGAGAGAGACATTGTCCTCCTGAGAAGGAGAAGCTGAAATGTCTTGTTCCGGCTCCTAAAGGTTATATGACTCCTTTCCCTTGGCCTAAGAGTAGAGATTATGTTCATTACGCTAATGCTCCTTTCAAGAGCTTGACTGTGGAGAAGGCTGGGCAGAACTGGGTTCAGTTTCAAGGGAGTGTGTTTAAGTTCCCTGGTGGTGGAACTATGTTTCCTCAAGGTGCTGATGCTTATATTGATGAGTTAGCTTCTGTTATCCCAATCAAAGATGGATCTGTTAGGACCGCATTGGACACTGGATGTGGGGTATGTTCTTGTTGTTTTCATTTCATTTTCTTAGATCTTCTTTGATTCTGATTGTTTCAATCTTCTAGGTTGCAAGCTGGGGTGCTTATATGCTTAAGAGGAATGTTCTTACTATGTCTTTTGCGCCAAGGGACAACCATGAAGCACAAGTACAGTTTGCACTTGAGAGAGGTGTTCCAGCTATTATAGCTGTTCTTGGATCTATTCTTCTTCCTTATCCTCCAAGAGCCTTTGATATGGCTCAGTGCTCTAGATGCTTGATTCCATGGACTGCAAACGGTAACTATCACCCAACAAAACATTAACATATTCACAGTTTAATGCTCCCTCTGTTTCATATTAGACTATGTTTTACATCAATGCACATATATTAAGAAAACTACTTTTTCTTAAAAAGTTAATATGTTGTCTTTGGTTCTTGATTGCTTGTACAGAGGGAACCTACTTAATGGAGGTTGATAGAGTCTTGAGACCAGGAGGTTACTGGGTCTTGTCAGGACCTCCCATCAACTGGAAAACCTATTACAAGACGTGGAACCGTACCAAAGCAGACCTCAGAGCCGAGCAAAAGAGAATAGAAGACATCGCAGAGTCTTTATGCTGGGAGAAGAAGTACGAGAAGGGAGACACTGCCATTTTCAGAAAGAAGATAAACGATAAGTCATGCGATAGATCATCATCAACGGTTAACACATGTAAGAGAAAAGACACTGATGATGTCTGGTACAAGGAGATTGAAACTTGTGTAACACCGTTCCCTAAAGTATCAAGTGAAGAAGAAGTCGCTGGAGGGAAGCTGAAGAAGTTCCCTGAGAGGCTATTGGCAGTGCCTCCGAGTGTCTCTAAAGGTTTGGTTAGTGGAGTTGATGCGGAAGCGTACCAAGAAGATGTTAAACTGTGGAAGAAGCGTGTGGCAAGGTACAAGAGTATCAATAGCTTGATTGGTTCGACTAGGTACCGTAACGTTATGGATATGAATGCTGGTCTTGGTGGGTTTGCTGCTGCGTTAGAGTCTCCTAAGTCTTGGGTTATGAATGTGGTTCCGACAATTACAAAGAACACGTTGAGTGTTGTCTATGAGAGAGGTCTCATTGGTATCTATCATGACTGGTATGAACTATATCTACATTACTATTAATGGTAATCTCTAGAGGTGATAAACAAAAGCAGTGTTTAAGATCTTTGAAATCTTTGCAGGTGTGAAGGGTTTTCAACTTATCCAAGAACATATGATTTCATTCACGCTAATGGAGTCTTCAGCATGTATCAGCACAGGTAAAGATTTTAAACCTTAAAAGCTAAGAACTTCAAAAATTAAGCATCTTCTTAACTTGACCCAAAAGCTACAAAACTTTCTGAGAATTAGCAACATTTAACTAGGCATGGGTGTTCGGTTTGGGGTTTTTGGGATCGGCCCATTCAGGTCTTATATATGTTTTATGTCTTTTGGTTTGATTACTAATAGTTCAACTATATTTTATAACTTTTTCAAATATTTTGGATTCAAACTCATTTCAAGTTCTGATAATTTTGTTTGGTTTTATTTATATATCATATATCAAAATAAACATAAAATTTTGTATTTGAGGTATTTATTTAGATTTGGATATTTCTTTCAGATACTAGTGTAGATTTTTGGATCACTTTTTTTTTTGTTATCTGAACTTTTGCATTATCCGTTGGGATTCGGTTAATAACTCTTCGGTTTAGTTACATTTTATATTCTCTTACATGATCCATTTAGTTACATTTTATATTCTCCATTCGATTTCGGGTTCGGATCGGATAGAATTTGGGTTTTCCGGTTCGAGTTTGGTTTAGATCTTGGATTTTTGCCCAGGCCTACACTTAACAGTTAACACTAAACAGCTAAGAACTTTCTGAGAAATCTTAGTGATAGCTGCTGATGAATGGTTTTTGTTTTCATTTGGCAGCTGCAAGATTGAGGACATACTTCTTGAAATGGATCGTATCTTACGGCCAGAAGGGATAGTGATTATAAGGGATGAGGTTGATGTTTTGAACGATGTGAGGAAGATTGCTAATGGAATGAGATGGGACACTAAGTTGATGGATCATGAAGATGGTCCTCTCGTGCCGGAGAAGATTATGTACGCCGTTAAACAGTACTGGGTCGCCGGCGACGATGGAAACAGCCAGAGCAAGTCATCGTCTGCTGATAGTAGTGAAGAAGAGTAAAAAAAAACTAAGGTATTACAAGACTTAACCACAAACTTTTGTTAAATTCAATGAAGTCCACAATGCTGTTTTGGTTACAACCCGAACTCTTTGTTTCAAAGTTTATATTATTGTAAAATTATTTTTTGGTATTTTATCAGGTGAAATTTTTAAGCTGGAAGTGTGGGGATATTTTATGACACCTGGAAAATACTTATCAAAGGAATCAGAATTTTCATGAAAGAAAGGGGTCGAAATTTGAAATACATTATAGATGATTAAAACGAATATGTGCATTTATGTTTTTTTATTTTTGTACTTTGAAGGAACAAAACATAGTTCCATTTTTTTTTGCATGATAGTTGAATCCTTGAACGTTTGTTATGTTTATGTATGATGTGATCTTACAAAAATAAATTAAGGATTAGTTCTTTATAAAGAAAAAATATTAATGGAAGCTTCTGGACAATTTAAAATGATTTTAAATATAAATCGTTGAAAGGAAAAAATAATCAATAATCAGTTCATTATTGACATATCGTAAGGAAAAAGGGATGCAGACGTCGGTATGTTCGTAAATGGATATTACTGTTTTGGAACAAAGCCATAGTTGTCATGGGTCACCTTTTGTCTCATGACTTATCATCATGCAAATGTGCATCACCCACTAATAAAAATATACAGAAACTACTAAATTGACATATTTAAACCTAATTTGATACACATTTTAAGAATACAAACTTGGCTTTTAGTTTAAAACTAATTCGTCTAAATAATTATAGTTACGCTTGGTGGGCAATCATGACTGCAATAATTATAGTCTTCAAACATGAAGATGAGCCTTCCAACCAGTATATCATCAGACTAAATATTGTTTTACAAAAGGAAAAATATATATACATCTTTG